ATCCGGGGGCCCGGGCTCCGGGGGTCCGGATCTGGAGTTCCGGATCCGGTGGTCCGGATCCGGGGGGTCCGGACCCCTAGATCCGGATCCCCGGACCTCCGGATCCGGACCTCCGGATCCGGGCCCTTGGATCCGGACCCCCGGATCCGGGCCCTCGGATCCGGACCCCCGGATCCGAAGACCCGGATCCGGACCGCCGGATCCGGGCCACCGGATCCGAGGGTCCGGATCCGGGGGTCTGGATCAAGGGTTCCAGATCCGAGGGGCCGGATCCGGGGGTCCGGATCCGAGGGATCGGATCCGGGGGCCCGGGGTCAAGGGGTCCGGATCCGGAGTCTCGGATCCGGACGCCCCGGATCCGAACCCTCGGATCCGGACACCCGGACCCCGGATCCGGCCCCTCGGATCTGGAACCCCGGATCCGGACCTCCGGATCCGGACCTCCGGACTCCCGGATCCGTACCTCCGGATCCGGACCCCGGATCCAGACCCCCGGATCCGAACCCTCGGATCTAGACCCCCGGATCCGGAGTCTCGGATCCGGACACCCGGACCCCCGGATCCGGCCCCTCGGATCTGGAACCCCGGATCCGGACCTCCGGATCCGGACCTCCGGACTCCCGGATCCGTACCTCCGGATCCGGACCCCGGATTCAGACCCCCGGATCCGAACCCTCGGATCTAGACCCCCGGATCCGGAGTCTCGGATCCGGCCCCGCGGATCTGGAACCCCGGATCCGAACTCTCGGATACGGACCCCCGGACCCCCGGATCCGGCCCCTTGGACCCCGGGGCCCCGGGTCCGTGGGTCCGGATCCGGGGTTCTAGATCCGAAGGGCCGAATCCGGGGGTCCGGATCCGAGGGTTCAGATCCGGGGGCCCGGGCTCCGGGGTCCGGATCTGGAGTTCCGGATCCGGTGGTCCGGATCCGGGGGGTCCGGACCCCTAGATCCGGATCCCCGGACCTCCGGATCCGGACCCCCGGATCCGGGCCCTCGGATCCGGACCCCCGGATCCGGGCCCTCGGATCCGGACCCCCGGATCCGGAGACCCGGATCCGGACCGCCGGATCCGGGCCACCGGATCCGGATCCGAAAGTCCGGATCCGGGGGTCCGGATCCGGGTCTCCGGATCCGGGGGTCCGGATCCGAGGGCCCGGATCCGGGGGTCCGGATCCGAGGGCCCGGATCCGGGGGTCCGGATCCGAGGGCCCGGATCCGGGGGTCCGGATCGGGAGGTCCGGGGATCCGGATCTAGGACGGTGTCATCCACGAGGAAACACTTAGGTGGTAGGCACCCTCCCCTTGGTGGTGAATCATTTGGACTGCCCTGGGAGACCTAACTTGGCCAACGGCGTAGGCGACTCCGGATCCGGACCCCCGGAGCCCGGGCCCCCGGATCCGAACCCTCGGATCCGGACCCCCGGATCCGGGCCCTCGGATCCGGACCCCCGGATCCGGAGACCCGGATCTGGACCGCCGGATCCGGGCCACCGGATCCGGATCCGAGGGTCCGGATCCGGGGGTCCGGATTCAGGGTTCGGATCCGGAGTCTGGATCCGGGGTCCGGATCCGGAGGTACGGATCCGGGAGTCCGGAGGTCCGGATCCGGAGGTCCGGATCCGGGGTTCCAGATCCGAGGGGCCGGATCCGGGGGTCCGGGTGTCCGGATCCGAGGGTTCGGATCCGGGGGGTCCGGATCCGAGGGCCCGGATCCGGGGGTCCGGATCCGGAGGTCCGGGGATCCGGGGGTCCGGATCCGGAGGTCCGGGGATCCGGATCTAGGGGTCCGGACCCCCGGATCCGGACCACCGGATCCGGAACTCCGGATCCGGACCCCCGGATCCGGACCCCGGACCCCGAGGCCCCGGGTCCGTGGGTCCGGATCCGGGGTTCCAGATCCGAGGGGCCGGATCCGGGGGTCCGGATCCGAGGGTTCGGATCCGGGGGCCCGGGGTCCAGGGGTCCGGATCCGGAGGTCCGGATCCGGAGTTCCGGATCCGGTGGTCCGGATCCGGGGGTCCGGACCCCTAGATCAGGATCCCCGTACCTCCGGATCCGGACCCCCGGAACCGGGCCCTCGGATCCGGACCCCGGATCCGGGCCCCCGGATCCGAGCCCTCGGATCCGGACCCCCGACTCCGGCCCCTCGGATCTGTAACCCCGGATCCGGACCCCCCGACCCGGACCCTCGGATCCGGATCCGGTGGTCCGGATCCGGGGGTCCGGATCCGAGTCTCCGGATCCGAGGGTCCGGATCCGAGGGCCCGGATCCGGGGCGGTCCGGATCCGGAGATCTGGATCCGGGGGTCCGGATCCGAGACTCCGGATCCGGACCCCTTGACCCCGGGCCCCCGGATCCGAACCCACGGATCCGGGGGTCCGGATCCGGGGTTCCAGATCCGAGGGGCCGGATCCGGGGGTCCGGATCCGAGGGTTCGGATCCGAGGGCCCGGGGTTCGGGGGTCCGGATCCGGAGTTCCGGATCCGGTGGTCCGGATCCGGAGTTCCGGATCCGGTGGTCCGGATCCGGAGTTCCGGATCCGGTGGTCCGGATCCGGAGTTCCGGATCCGGTGGTCCGGATCCGGGGGTCTGGACCCCTAGATCCGGATCCCCGGACCTCCGGATCCGGACCCTCGGATCCGGGCCCTCGGATCCGGACCCCCCGGATCCGAACCCTCGGATCCGGACACCCGGACTCCCGGATCCGGCCCCTCGGATCGGGAACCGCGGATCCGGACCTCCGGATCCGGACGCCCGGACTCCCGGATCCGGACCTCCGGATCTGGACCCCGGATCCAGACCCCCGGATCCGAACCCTCGGATCCAGACCCCCGGATCCGGAGTCTCGGATCCGGCCCCGCGGATCTGGAACCCCGGATCCGAACTCTCGGATACGGACCCCCGGACCCCCGGATCCGGCCCCTTGGACCCCGGGGCCCCGGGTCCGTGGGTCCGGATCCGGGGTTCCAGATCCGAAGGGCCGGATCCGGGGGTCCGGATCCGAGGGTTTGGATCCGGGGGCCCGGGCTCCGGGGGTCCGGATCCGGAGTCGCCTACGCCGTTGGCCAAGTTAGGTCTCCCAGGGCAGTCCAAATGATTCACCACCAAGGGGAGGGTGCCTACCACCTAAGTTTTTCCTCGTGGATGACACCGTCGTGGTCCTAACAGACACCAGCCATCCCAGAGCTCTGTTCGCCGTGCTTGAGGACTTAGCGCGTGTTTCGAAGCGTGTAAATAAGAAAACCTTATGTTGCGTCCACGCCGCGTGTTTCTAACTGCTAAATTTATTATTCTCACACGGCGTGCAAACAAAGGGAGAAAACCTTATTTGCACGCCGCATTTGACGGGATTCGAACCGGGGACAAAAACTTAGCATGTAGGTGCGGTGCTACCGGCCCACGACGCCTTCCTGGCCGGTCGGGTTGCAAGTTTGCAGCACTTTGTACTGACCAAGCGTGTAAACAACGATTTAGTGCCTTATAGACACGCCGCGTGGAAATTGGGGCTAAAAGTATTATGTACACGCCAGAAAGAGTTTGAGGCGTCTCTATAAGAAATTGTACCGTTGCGTTCACGCCGCGTGTCTTTAACTGCTAGATTTATTATTCGCACACGGCGTGCAAACAAAGGGGGAAAATATTATTTGCACGCCGCACTCTGCGGGATTCGAACCGGGGACAAAAACTTAGCATGCGGGTGCGGTACCACCCACCCACCATGCCAGCCTGGCGGGACGGGTTCCTCGCTAGAAACACATTTTTCCATTCGGTGTTTAAATAAGCAAACACAGCATTGGAGATACGCCGCGTGCACCTAACTTGGAAAAATATTAAAGGCACGCCGAAACGAGTTTGAAGCGTGTCAATAAGAAAATACACCATTAGGGACACGCCGCGTCAACATAAAGCTACAAATTATTATTGATACGCCGGAAAAGCTTTTCCGGCGTGCTAATAAGAAAACTAGACATTGCAGACACGCCGCGTGAAAATAACGCCATTTATTATTATATACACACCAGCGGTTTTCCGGTGTGCATATAACTGTCTTTTTTCTTATAGAAACGCGGCGTGTCTATAATCACTCCGTTATTTTTATTTTCGTTTTTGTTTTTTGGAGAGGATAGCAGAGTCGGGTTGTTTCTCGGACACATCGATTTGGGGCGAGCGCGCACCGGGCCGCACCGGGCCGCACCGGGCCGCACCGGGCCCCGGCAGCAGCGCGCTTTGGTCCTGACAGGACACAGGGGCCCGACGACGTTGCTTCTCTGCGATGCTCTGCGATATCGGCTGTCAGCGGACTCGCATGTAACGGGGAAACGGGTAACCCTCGGGATATAACCCCAGCCCGTCCAGCCCGTCCGGCGCTGGGATTCCCCTCCCCCCCTTTCCCCCTTCCCCCTTTCTCTGCCTCGTGGACCAACCGAAACGCCGCGCGCGCTCCGACCTATTTTCCGCTGTGCTCGCCGTCAGAGGGCGCTCATCTGGCCGCGCGATATGCCTCTCTCTCTCTCTCTCTCTCTCTCTCTCTCTCTCTCACACACACACACACACACACACACACACACACACACAGCGGCGGCGGCGGCGCACAATGCGGCCGAATCACGACAAAAGTGATGCTAATTGACACAATTATTTACGGTTGGGCCGCCGAAAGTCGCTGCGGCAGCACATTGCGGCCTAGACTGCATCACTCGGTGTGTGTGTGTGTGTGTGTGTGTGTGTGTGTGTGTGTGTGTGTGTGTGTGTGTGTGTGTGTGTGTGTGTGTGACGGACGTGGCGGTGCCATTTCCAGGCTGCCCATTGGCTGGCCCGCTCTGGCCGCTCTGGCCGCTCTGCCAACACGGTGCGGCTAGATTGAATTATCCGACGCCGTTGGGAAATGCCGCGGTGTGCGGTCCGCGTTGTGTGTGTGCTGTGCGCGAATGCCGCGCGCCGTCCCCTTTTTTGTTGCTTTTTGTTGCTGACGTTGTTCCCCTCTCTCTCTGTTCCAGCGCAATGCATCGCGCCGCTGGGCATGCAGTCCGGCGCCATCCCGGACCACGACCTGTCGGCTAGCTCCTCGTACGAGAGCGGCAACGTGGGGCCGCAGCATGGACGGTGAGTTGTTTAACATTTAACTCGATTCCTTATTTAGCGGTCCGCTTCGCTGCGAGGCGCCCCAGCGACCGGTGAACTTTTTTATTATTGACAACGCTGGAGATGAGGGGCTGGCTGGAGCCTCTGGAGCGATCAAGGGCGAGCCTCGGTGGAGCCTTGGTGGAGCAATCGCCGGGACTTCCTCGCCTGATTATGCGAGGCTGGAGGAGCCGCGCTGGAGTCAAGTCCCCCTTCCGCCCGGTGGCGGCCCGTCGCACAGTGGGCCAGAAGACCGGTGGAGGCGGACGAAACTCTAGACGCGTTTTGAGCTCCAGAGTCACTAACCAGGACTCGAACCGAACGTGTGACCCCACCAATGGATTGCTCTCCGAACGAGGAATCCATTGGTGGGGTCACACGTTCGGTTCGAGGCCTGGTTAGCGACTCTGGAGCTCAAAACGCGTCTCGAGTTTTGGCCGCCTCCACCGGTCTTCTGGCCCACTGTGCGACGGCGGCCCGACGGCCTGACCGCTGTTTACACCCCCCACGTGTCCCGGCCTGATTTCTTCTCATCCCCTGAGAAGCTCCCGCTCCCCCTCGCTCGTCGGCCCGCTCCGTCTCCCTCGCACCCCCGCGGGACGGCGCCGCGGGTGCGAGAGAGAGAGAGACACTGTAGCCGCTGACTCGCGGCGTAATCATCAATTTCCCGGAATAATCTCGATCACTAAGTCCGCCAGTCCGCCTCGCCCGGCCTAGCCCCGCCGAGGCGCTTCCCCTTGATTAACCGCCGCAGTTTAATGGCACAGTAGTTCTCAGCGCCGGGTTTGCCCGCGGAAACCGGGTTCTCTCGCTGAAACCAGGTTTTCGCGCGCTCCAAAGTGGGTAGAGTTTTCGGCATCGCATTTTCTTAACTGAGTTTTTGCCAAGTCAGAAAATTGGGTTTTTAGCACCTGGACGCACACGGTTTCGCCTTCTTAGACAAAATCGGGTTTCGAGCGTATTTTTTCTGCAACCTCTGTGGGTGGATTTGCGTGGCGATTGAATCACGCCGCGACACTGTTTGCGATATCGTTTACAGCCCCGGCTGGCTGGCTGGCTGGCTGGCTGGCTGGCTGCGGGGTGGCGATAATGAGCCTGGGCAATCAGGGTGCCTGCCGGGCCTGCCGGGCCTGCCGGGGATGAAGATGAGGGTGCTGACCAGGACAGGCGGTAGTTAGTGTCCGAGCCTGAGCGCTTCCCGCCCCGCCCCGCCCCGCCCCGCCCCGCCCCGCCGGGTACTTACCCTCCCTCGCCGGCACGCCCTGATCAGGTCGCCTGCTCCGGAATGGACGGGCATCGCCCCTCGTCGCTCAGTCCTCGCCCCGTCTCTCTCGCACCCACTGGCACGAGAGAGAGAGGGAGAGAGAGAGAGAGAGAGAGAGAGAGAGAGAGAGAGAGAGAGAGAGAGAGAGAGAGAGAGAGAGAGAGAGAGAGAGAGAGAGAGAGAGAGAGACAGAGAACCACCTGCCGCGAGTCCCATCCCCTGCTGCTACTTTCGGCCGTAAAAATTGGCCGTATCCATCGTGTCCACTGGGCAGAAAACATGTGCATTGAAAATAGAAAAGAGACATTATGCAGCGTAGCGACTATCGCCGGCTATCCAGCATCGCCCCTCGGCCATAACGCCGGCACCGCAAATCGGCCGCCTCTTCCTGTTCCCGCCCCTCCCCCTCCCCTCCCCCTCCCTGTCCGCCCCTGCCCTTCTTTTCAACGTCCTCCTCCCCCGCGCTCTGCGCTCTGCACCCCAACGGGGCGCAAACACTTTGTTGGAGCCGTCGGGGATCCTCTCCTAAGCACCCCGTCGGTGTGTGTGTGTGTGTGGCCTGGCTGCGTTGCCTACCTTCCAGGCGCCTTTGACGCGCCCCTGGCAGGGCTGGCAGGCAAAAGGCAGAAAGCTATTTATTGACTGTCGGCGGGGAAAGTGCCGCATTGAATCTGACGCTCCGTCGCCGCGTCGTCTGCTCCGACGGCGCCTTGTCTGTCTAGCTTTCGGCCTGGCCGCTGCTGCGTGCGCTTCTAGTTCTTGCTTCCCTCAGTGTTTGCCGTTTCTTCCTTGACGCTGGGGAAGCTCGCCTGGTCGCAGAGATGCTGCTGCTTCGGTATGCACCTGTCTGCACCCCTCGTCTGCGCGCGGCCTCGGGCGCTTCCTTCTCGCTGCGTCGCTCTGTCTCTCTCGCACTCGGGCGTCCCGCCGGGGTGCGAGAGAGACAGCCTACTGGCCACCCCCGTGAAGGCCACCCCCTGGCATTACATTTTCATTTCCACTTCCCGTCCATATTTCTTTGTTTCCCTCCTCCCGGCCCTGGGTCCGTGGGCCGGCCTCGGCGACTGGACTCGGCCGCGGGGCGTCATCGCTTGTATTTTTGGCAGTGGCGGGCCGCGCACCTGGTCGCGCACCTTAGGAGGCGGCTGCATCCCTTTCCACTCCGGCCAAATGGATATTTATGGTGGAGGGGGTAAATATAAGTTGAGGCCTGCCGGATGAGCGCGGGGGCTGTTTCTCTTTGGTTTTCCTGTTTTTCGCCGCGAGGCGGTGGCGGGGTGGGGCTTAGGGTGCACTTAGAGGTCGGCCGGGCCGGACGGCCGGCACATACGTCCATACTCCCTCAGGACTCTGCCGACTCATAAGTCTCCATCTGGCCGGCCTTGGCGGCGGCCCGGCAGGCCTTGCGAGGCTCGGCCTGTTTCTGGATTTCGCTCCGGATTGCGGCCGGAGTGCCACCGTCCCAGCGGACAGCCGGAAGCCATCGGCAGGCCGACGCCAGGCCGACGCCAGGCAGGCCCTCGTTCGATCTTTATTTTCCATTTTCTCCTCTTTTTCCCGTTTTCTTTTTTGGGGGGTGATTTTTCTTTTAACTCTGCGTTTTTTCTGTTGCTCTTTTTTTAGCAGATGATACCTTCACCACACTTGAAACGTACTTAAAAATACTGTACACATGAAGGTGTCAGCGTGCTTTTACTCTCGAGTCCAGAAACCAAGCGCGTATCCTAACAATATAATAGGGGCTGGCCGCCGGGGCGGGCTGGTGTGTCTGGCTGGCTGGCTGGCGGTGAGGCGCAGCCTGCGCGGACAATGGCACCCCCTACCCCCTCCTCGCGCGCGACGGCCCGCGCGCAACATTGACAATCCCTCTCCGCCTGCCACGTCTCAAAGGGTGGGTGACTCGGGCAGACCTCGGCTCTGCTCAGCTCGTGCCGGCTTCGGCGCCAGCTCGGCCTCGTTCGTTGAATGAGATTTTAAGAACTATCTTTGGAATGAGCCCATACTAATGAGCCCAGAAGAAAACCAAACGAGTATCATCTGCTTTCATTAACGTTCGTTGAATGAGATTTTTTTTTTTTGGTGCCGAGTCTTGAGGTTTGGTCGCGCCGCCTTTTTCAATAGAGCGGTCCGAACAATGACTCCTCCTCGGGATCCTTGAAAGAGGAATCTCTCCCGCCGCGTCGAGTCCGCGCCGCTGGTGGCGCTTAATGAGCGCACTCGGCCCAAATGGACCGGAAATTCCGTTTCAATTGTCGCGCGCTCGGCCGAGTCTGTCTCTCTCGCACCCGCGGCACTCACGGGCGCGAGAGAGACGGCAGAGAGCCACGTCAGCGCGCGGCCCGAGCTTATTCGCACTGACTAATCCATTTGGATCGCACTTCTCTTATAATTCGGCACCAATCAGGAGAGGAAACCACCGCCCCCTCCCTCTCGGCCCTCCGGCGTCGTGGGGCGCTTGGCGGAGGCTTGGCGGAGGCTTGGCCGAGGCGCGGGGGTTTCAGCGTAATCGGGCTGCTTTCGCCAACTTGCTATCTAGTGGCCCCGCTTGGCGGCGCGGCGCGGCGCCCGGCCAGTGGACATGATGGCAACTCGCAAACTTTGCTTTAACTTCTCGCACTAACTCCATCGGGCTGGCCGCCAGCCGAACGGACGGCTGTCGCGGCCCTCGCGGCCCTCGCCGAGCACAACAAGACCGTCGACTTGGCGGCCGCCACGCGCCGCAAGGCCACTCCGGGATGCTGCCGGACTACCTGCTGGCCGCGCTGACACGGGGCGCCTCCCTCCTCCAGACCCACCCTCGGGCGTCCGGCCCTCCGTCGCGGTTGGTGTAAGGCCCATCTATTTCGCTCGCATGGAATTAATAAAAATGTCTATGTATGTGGTCACGACGTGTTATGGCCGGGGGGACACGGACAAGGGACACACACACACACACACACACACACACACACACGCACGCACACACACACAGGGCGGCCGACCACCGGCGGTACGGGCGTCTACTTTGGCGGTTTTGAATAAAACATGATGACATTAGACGCAGGAGAGACGCAGGCGAGACGCCAGGCCAACTCAGTCAGGGCGAGAGTGCGGCAGTGCAGCCAGCTCGGCGACTTCGGGTCCCGTCGGTCCTCCGTCCCCCGTCCCCGGTTCCCTGCCCGGCCGCGGGGAAGTCGTACAGGAATCCGATAATGTCTTCTGTCCTGGACCTCGGCGTGGTCCACGGCGTCCTCGTCGTCCTCGGCGTGGTCCTGGCCGCCGTTACAGTCATGGGTGCTATGGGGCGTGCTGTGCGCCTCGGCGATGAGGACGGCGATATTGGCTGCACTGCTGTGTCTTCCGCAATTTTATGTTGTTTTTTGCGTTCCCTTTTTTTGCGGGGTAATTTCCGTCGTGATGCGTCCTTGCCGGTTATTATTTTTATTCAAATGGACAGCCGCGCGGCCCGGCCGCCGTTCCGCGGGGCGGCTTCAATGAGCGCGCAGTTCGAGGAGGAGTCCTCCAGAAACAATTACTGGTGGAAAAATAAAATATAAACCGGTGCTTTCTTTCTGCTTCTCCTCCCCCCGCCCTCGGCGTGCCCCGTTCGTCTCTGACGCCCCGAATGTGTGGGAGGAGGTGGCGCGACCGGGAAGTGGGGATTCAATAGTCCGCCGGGTGGCAGGCGCGGGCTGGGGGCAGAAGCAGGCAGAAGTGATGGAAGAGCTCAAAGATCCACTTGGACGAGGCGGCCAAAAAGCGCAGCGGGATGAAAGGCTCCGAAGGTTGCAGCGCGGGGTAGGGGGAAGTCCTGGAAGTGTTTTCGCCCGGTCAGCGCCAGGGCGGGGCCCTGGGCCGTGGGGCTCGCGGCCAGGGCTAGACCGGACGCTGGGCGGCCCCGCCGGGCACAAGGCCGGGCACAAGGCCGGGCAGGGGGCAGCGGGGGACAACCGTCTTGCAGACGCGCGTTTGATATACTGCGTGGAAAAAGCGGCCGCCTCTTCTTCTCCTCGCCTTTCCTTCCGGCTTTCCGTTGATATTTGCCTCATGTTATTATCCGCGGCTTCTTTTATATGGATATGAAGGCCTCCCTCTCTTCCTCGCTCTCTCTCTTCCTCTCTTTCTTCCTGCCCCTTTCGCGCGGCCTGCGGTCAGAAAAAGAACGGAAGGTCTAGCCTGCCCCATCGGCGGGCAGGCGGTCCGGCCCCAGACGGCACACACCGCCCCCTGCAGTCTGCTTTCGGGGAGGGAGGAAAAAACGCAACACGTTATTCGACTGGAGGTTTGCTTTATTTATCTTTGTGCGCGATGGGTACCGCACATCTTGTCTGTTTGTCTGTCTGCCTGGGTGTCTGTCTGTCTGTCTGCCTGTCTGTCTGCTCTTGCGCCGAAGTCGTGAGGGTCAGTTTGAGGCTTTAGGGACGCGTCGTCGGGCGACAGGGATCGGATTCTCGAGAGGGGCGCTGGAGGCGGCTCGGCACGGCCCCGAAAAATGGCGCTTGAAAGCGAGAAAGTGCCTCACTCCATTGGAAGAGTGCCACCATTTGTTTGAGGCTAAAAGCCGGCCACCGGTGAGGGTGCGCCGCGCGCAGGCGGCGCGCTCGGCAGCGTGCAGCCTGCGCGGTAGGCAACGCGCCCGCACCCCTGCCGCCGGGTTGCCTACCTGCCGGGCGCTCTGTCCGCCGCTTGGTGGAAGGCAGCTTCACCAGCTTCACCAGCCTCACAGGCTTCACCAGCCTCACCGTGAAATTCGCTTCTCGTGATTACTTTTCGCCCCCTCCTCTTTCTCCGCAAACCGTGCAAGCCGCATTTCATTCCGCCCTCGCTGGGGCCGCGCCGCGCCGTGCCGTGCCAGGCCCCTCGCATGTGGTGTACTATTTCTCGCCGTTTTGAACCGCGCGCCGCCGCTGCCTCTCTCGGCCTCGCTGCCCGACTGAGCCCCGAGAGCACGCGTTTCTTTGCGGAGATGAGGTGTACTACGCTGCGGTGTGTCAATCCCCGACCTGTGATTGGATTCCTTCTCCTTCCTCTCCTTCTTCTGCCACTGCTCTGTGCGTGTGTGTGTGTGCGTGTGTGCGTGTGACCCCCGTGGCGTATGGATTCTGGTGTGTACTTCGAGCTGTGAGTTTGTCTTACCAAATGTATCTGTCTCTATGCATCTATCCATCTGTACAGCCATCCATACCCCCCATCCATCTATCTATCTGCACCCCCCCCCCTTTTCTGACTTGAGACATAAATCTTCACAGCGTGGGGCGTTGCTCAAGCAGATGTCGACCGTGCGAATCCCCTTTAAGGCCCCCCCCCCCTTCCCCACTCACTATCTCACTTTCTCGTCTCTCGACTTTCTTTTTCTGGCGTTTCTATTTACTGAGCGGCGCGCAAACTTTTTCTATTACGTGCCGCTGGACGCGTTTTGTATGTATCAGTCTGAATAAAGATGACGTGTGGAAACTGTTTCCGGAAGGGAGGCTTGAGGCGGCGGCTCCCTCGCGCCGCGATTCCGGCTTTGGCGCGGTTTTCAACCGTTTTCAAATGTTTTCAAAGCGCGACACGTGCGGCGCCAAGGTTGTTGTTTCGCTCTTCGGCGCGAGTCCCCACCGCCTTCTCTCTTCGGAAACTCGATAACGGAGCAATCGGAATAACGGGACGGAGTGCCGCTCCGATGGGAATCGGAAAAGGACGCAGAATGAGAGAGCGGCGGCAAATTCGGAATTTGAGTGAAAGGGAAAGGACACTGTCCGTCCGCGGCTTCTTGGTGGAAAAATGGAAATGAGATCTCCGGAATAGTTTGGATGAATCTGGCGGCGCGTCTGGGGCTAATCTTCTCTCCCCGTGCCGCGGCGGCGTGCCCCGAGGGACTCCCCCTCCCCCCCTCCCCACCTGCCCCCGTCCTTTTGGCGAGCTCGCAGTATTAGCTGGCGAGTGCCTGGCAGCCTCGCCAGCCTCGCGTCACTCGCGACCCAGCTGCTGTGAAATTAGGAATGTGGGATGTTGGCAGCAGTGCGTGCGCAAACACGTGCGTGCGATATGAGGCGGCCGGTTTTCGCGAGTGGCGAGGAATCGAGGCGCCCCGCGTTCATTTCGGGGAGGTTGGCAGCGCGGGGCCTATCTGCTCCCCAGAGGGCCCCACCCCACCCCGCCCCACCCCACCCCACCCCACCCCACCCCACCCTCGGCCGCCGTCCGATCCCCGCACTAATAAGTCAGCAAACTTGCGTCCGTCAAAGAGCCACAGTTTAATTACGTGGACGTTTGTTCTCCTCGCCCCCCAGCAGCACCCCGCCGTGCCCCCCGGCCCCCGGCTCCCGCCCCCCGGCCCCGCCGCCGGACCCCTGGGGGGAGCAGGGCGAGGCAGACCGTCTTTATCCCGCCGCTCTCCCTTAAGCCCTTGTTTGTCTCCTCGAGCCCCACCTGGTTCCCCCTCCTTCATCATTCGCATCAGCAGCATACCCTTTCCCTAATCTCAATTTTTCATATTTTTTCAAATTTCAAATTTTTGCCACTTTTTTTTTTTGGTACTTGCAAATGAGGAAGTGAACGCAGGTGTAATTTGCCGGGCGATTAATCATCCGGTCGGAACCGGAAGTGGCAGCCTGATGGTATCACGGCGCACGTAATACGTGCATTAGGCCTTGACCCACTGCAGGGCCACTGAAGGGCCGCCGCAGGGCCGCCAGGGCTGCGGTATCGCAAACGGGGCGTGAAATCGGGGACCGCCAAAAAGTGACGCTGCCGGTCGGTCGGGGGAGTTTATTTGAGCGGATCAATAAAGAAAAGTTGTTTGGAAAAAAAGGAACTCTTTTGTTGGGTGCGGTGCGCGCGCAACCTGCTATTACATTTTTTTTGTCCTCATCTGACTGCGCTGCTCGGGCCGATAACAACTTTGTACCCCGACTGAGGGGGCTGCATCCCCCCCCCCTCTTTTCCGGCCCGCCCCTCTGTGGTTACTGCCCTGGATAAGCGCCATGATGGATTAGTGGCTTCGCTTTCTTTTCGCTCGTTTTACAGTGGCGATACGTGCCTCGCCGCGCTTACGCCCACTGTGTCTCTCTCGCTCCGCTGCGGCACGCCCTGTGGGTGCGAGAGAGACGGAGCTACGAAAGCCCGGGTCGGAATCAACCTGTGGGCGGCACAGTTGCGGGCCCCGGCGACAATCGCGAAACAGTAATGGATTTCAAGAACCTCTCCGCGGCGTTTGTTTGTGTGTGTGTGTGTGTGTGTGTGTGTGTGTGTGTGTGTGTGTGTGTGTGTGTGTGTGTGTGTGTGTGTGTGTGTGCCCGTGCTTCCCCGCCCCCGTTTTTTCCACTCAGGCCGCCGGCAAGGGGTTTCGAACCGAGGGCGTGGCGGCGCGGCTGCGAGGCCCAATCTGTTTCCCCCTTTCCCCAGGTCAATGTGATGAATGGCGGTTCCGCGTGGAATTCCCCGAGTCTAATCCCGTTTTTTCTCTTTCCGCAGAGTCCGCACCGAGAGCCAGGGCGGCGCCTGGTGCCCCAAGCTGCAGATCACCACCTCCCCCAACGAGTGGCTGCAGGTGGAGCTGCACTCGGTGCACGTCATCACGGCCGTGGAGACGCAGGGCCGCTTCGGCAACGGCCAGGGCCAGGAGTACGCCGAGGCCTACATGCTGGAGTACTACCGGCCGCGCCTGGACAAGTGGGTGCGCTACCGGGACGAGAACGGCCAGGAGGTGAGTGTTAGCCGCGTGGTTAGTGTGGTCGGGTGCGGACCGTGAGGTCGTGGGTTCGACACCCGGCGACGGTGGTTTTTTTTCGAGGGGGGATGCCGTTGTTTTTGATTCGGTGCGCCATTGCCGGCAATGTTCATCCATATTCCCTTTAGCCGCGTGGTTAGCGTGGTCGAGTGCGGACCACGAGGCCGTGGGTTCAACCCCCGGCGACGGTGAGTTTTTTTTTCGGGTGGGGATGCTGTTGTTGTTGATTCGACGTGCCACTGCCGGCAGTGTACATCCGTATTCCCTTCCAGGAGGCCGTTCCAGGCCGTCCCAGGCCGTCCTACAGTGCCGCTAACTGACAGTACAGTCACGTCCTTGCGCCGTCGTGCTCATCTCGACCGAGAAGTTGGACCGGCCCGGCCCCCACTCCACTGGAGACTCCGGGAGACTCCGGCCAGCAGTGCCCTAACGAATGCAGTGCTGCAATAATAATGACGCCGATATCCCCGACTGGGTCTCCGGGTTTTCGGGTCTCCGGGTTCTCTGGTTGTTTTCCCGCGCAATCCAAGCCCCCCGTCGTCACCTGGCGGGGGGCGGCGTGACCTACTGATTGGAGTGCTGCTCTCCAAGGCCTCCCCGGCGGGGCGAGCGCGACAAAGTCCCCGGCCTTCCGAACGTAAACGCGGCGAGGATGTTGACGCCGAGACGCGTCACTGACGCGTCGCAGCCGCCTCTCTAAAAGTCGTCGTTCGCTTGCCGCCGCGGCGTTTGGATTCCCGAAAAGAGATTCATGGCTGCGGCTGGCTCCTTGTAAACAGTGGGGGAAGCCCCCGGTTTTTTGTTATTTTTTTTCGTGGGCGCGGGCTGCGGGTGCGGGGGATCGAACCCGTGCCGCTGCCGCCGCCGCCGCGGTGCTCCGATTCTGGGAAGGCGGGCTGGCTGGCGCTGCACTGCAATGCTCGGCAACGCCCCACAGTGTTTGTTATTAACGCGACCGAGATTCGGCCGCAGCTGTTGGCCGCGGACGTCCGCGCGTGCCAGTGTGGGTGCGGGTGCATCGCGGCGACAGACAAATTACGGCGGTGATAACGCATGGGGCAGTGCAGTACGTACACTGTGGGGCAGTGCCGCTTGGCGGCTTGGCGCTGTGGAACAGGTGGCGTGGCCGCGCAGTTCGGCGACGCGGGGGACGGCCAGGACCACGCCGACGACGCAGCAGCGCGACGCACTTGGCCGAGTTTATGCCGATGGCCGCCGTGCAGCTGCGGCCGTTGTTCGCGCGCGGCTCCAAGTAGGCCTCCACGTAGGCCTCCACGGCGGCGCCTCGGAGCGTCGCGGAGCCTCCCCCGCCACGCCGTGAAGGGCACGACTACGCCCGTAATGGCGAATTTATGTCGCAAGGTGGCGGCACTCCGCCGCTCCGTCTTTCTCGCGCTCGCAGGGCGTGCCGGCCGGGTGCGAGAGAGACAGAGCGACTGCTCGGAATCACTCTGCTGCTGGCGGCGGGGCGTCGCGGCGGCGCGGCGTCGGGAGGGGGTTCGTCGCGGGCCTCCTCGGACCGCCCCGGACCGCCCCGCCCGGTCGATGCGCCCCGCCGCCCCGCCCGTCGAAACGCTGCTCGAAACTTACCGTTTCTTTGTTGTTGTTGTTTTCCTCTTCTCCACGGCGGCGCGGCGAGAGTTTTTAAAAACCGCGGAGCTAATAAGAATCTGCCGGCGTGCCGCGGCCCGTGAGGCGGCCCGTGAGGCGGCAGGGCGATGCCGGCCGCGGAAGTGGCGGATATTAAATTCTTCTCGCGTCGGGATATTGTGAGGCGGCGGGCCTGCAGGCTGCGTCCCGGCGCGGCCTTCGTCGCGCCGTCTCTCTCGCACTCGCACGGCGGCCCGCTGGGGTGCGAGAGAGACGGAGCGACGCCCGGAGTCTGCCCGCTGGCCGCGCACGGCGAGACCTCCCCGCCCCTCCCCGGCACCTTGAATGCCATCTCGAGAAGCATTCGATTTATTTGCCTTGTGATACCCCCCTCCCCCTTTCAGAATTGGCTCCGCGTGGATGTAGTGGCGTTAATGCCGTCGCCAGAGAGGCCCATTCCGTTTCATGAGCCTGGAAAGGAAAAAAAAAGATTTCAATGAGTAATGTGACTTTTTCGAAAATGGCGTCTAAATTTTACAGCCCGCGCTGCTGGTGGTGGGCTTTCGCTTCTCTGCGCAAAATAAGAGTTTTTCATTTTCGATTTTACTTAATTATTCCGACTGTGTGCGGGGAAACGGGTACCATTCAAGTTTCCGCTTTGAAATGGCCGACACTTTTCGTGTGGACTCGGGCCAAATTACCTTGTTTGTACACAATGCGCGCGCGCGTGTGTGCGTGTGTGCGTGTGTGCGTGTGTGCGCGTTGTTGTACGCGAAAGCTTTGCCAGCCACGCCAGGCTCATCTTTTTGATGTGTGCTTGTCAGGATGGACACAAGCCTCGTTCCAGACCACGTAGACTATTGAATTACCCCGCGTATGTGCATGTGCGTGTGTGTGTGTGTGTGTGCGCGCGCGTGTGCGTGTCCACGCGTGGAGATGCAAGTGGCACGGTGAATGGCGTAAGGCCTCGTGCAGAACCAATAACTCGGAGCAAAGTGAGCCGGGCGAATCGGATTACCGCACTACAGGGCTGCCTGCCTGGCTGTCCGGCCGCCTGTGGCTGCCAGCTCGGGCTGCCGGACCTAATTGGCGCCAGGACAATGGCCAATGAATGCAGCCGGTCAAAATAACGCCGCCGCTCTGTGAATGGGTGCTTGGGCCTGCCTGATTCCATTCGACCTGCTTCGGAGGGTCGTTGTCGTCGTAGCCGAGGGCGTGCGCGTGTATGTGCGTGTGTGAGTGTGTGTGAGTGTGTGTGTGTGTGTGTGTGTGTGTGTGTACGTGTGTGCACGCGCGTGGGGCGGAAGTTAGTAATGTGACGATGCTACTGTCCGACGCGTGACGGACTCAACGTGACACAGAGTGTGTCGCACGACAGTGTGACGGGCCGAGGTATGAAAATGACTGTGCCGTGCCAACAAGTTCGCCTCTTGGGCGCGTCTCAAAGGGCTTTTGGAGCAGCTTCCACTGGGTCTTGTCGACGGCGCGCAGGTCGGCGAGCCCTTGTACGGCCGCTCACCCGCCCCCTATCTCCACCCGATGATCATAATAATCATGTCTAAGAGGCGCACCTCGAAATATTGCCAAATACTTCAGGGACTCTGGGCGGCAGCGGGCCCTCTGTCTGTCTGTCTGTCCGCCAGGCAGTGTTTTCGCCGCTGTGTGTGCACACCGCTCGAGCTATCGAAGCCACTCCAATCCAGACGACACAGGGCTGACATCCCATCCCATTGATATGCCAAGCAATGCCGAGCAATGCCGCGCAATGGCACGGCAGGGAAGGTGAAACGAAATTGACGTGGAGATGGAGAGGCAGGCAGCCAGGCAGGCAGCCAGGCGCTTTCTGATTCGCTTCCCATTTCGGAATCAAGGAAGGCGATCCGATCCGCTGTTGTGTGGCGCCAGACTGCCAGACGACGCCGCTTGCCGTCTGCCAGTGTGCCTGGCGGCCTGGCGGGGCGCGCTGGGGCTTCCCTCGTCTCATTGTGGAGCCCCGGCTTTGTAAGCGCGAGCAAAATTAACGAAATCCCGCGGGGTTCCATCCACACGGTGATGGCTTAAGCAGTTGCCGAGGTGGTTGCGAACCGCATTCAGAGTTTCGGTTTCGGGACCAAGTTTCGGGGGAGTACCGCACCGTTCGACATACGCTCCCCGACGCACGGAGCGCTGCCCCGCCACGCCCTGGCTTCTCCGAGTGGCGGGTATTAATCCCAGCCCTCGTGGGAGGCGCCAGGTGCCGCGTCCCCAAGGTCCCCCGCAGTGCCGCGGGGCCCCGATGAAATCAGGCAGGCGCCCCGCGGGGCGTTGCCGGGAACGAACGGGCGCCTAGTTCCACTCCGGGGACCTTCCCAGCCCGAAAACTAACGATCGGACGCCATTTTTTGGGTGGCGCGGCTCGTGCGTGCACTGCGTAGCGTAACGACTGTTGCTCTTTAATTCCCGTAGTGCCACCACACTGCCTCGGCCGCCACCACCACCCCGCACCTGGCCGTCGTGCACGTGGCGGCCGTCAACGCGCCCCGCCGCCCCGCGCCGCGCCCTCGACATGACGCCCTTTATGTCGTCCATCCAGCGGGCTTTACGGTGGGGCGGCCAGCCTGCACCGTGTACGACACGTCCAATTTAATACAAGTTACCCCCAAAAAAAAAAAAAAGAAATCGAAAGGCTTTGGTATTTCTGCGCTTTCTGCAAGAGTGCGCACAGCACGGTGTACCTCACCTCGCGCGGCGCTGTGCCAAGCAGGACCAAGTCCTTCTCCAAGTTTTTCCCCGTGCGATGTGTATCTCGGGGGCGGCCAGGGGCGGCCAGGTCGGAGCCACAGGCTGATCCCCTACAGTGCTCCGTCGCTCTGTCTCTCTCGCACCCCAGCGGAGCGCCCCACGCGTGCGAGAGAGACGCGCTGGGCGCGAGCAGCGCAGTGAACCCCGTGATCCTTGCTACCTATTCTTTGCCCGCAGTATTGATTCTCCCTCCCACCGCCCGCCTTCCTTCTCTATCTCTCTCTTTCTGTCTGACAGACGTTTCTCAGGACGGAGTCCACACTGTTCCGAGTCTAATAACTCGAAAAAAAATTGGGAAGGGGTTTGTGGGGCTGGCGACGGGGACGAGGGCCTGCTTGTAGGGAAAGCGCGCCGCCGGGCCGCTACGGCGCCCCGGATATCGGCACAGGTAGATGGCGGAGGGGCGGCCGTCTGGCTCTGAGCGCTCCCCTTCACCCTCTCTCACTCACACGCACACACACACGCACGAGTCGTTGAAGGACGAATGTAAGGGCCCATTGCATCCCCTGCATGCGCTGCGCACCCTTTTCTTCCCCATTCTGCCCGGGGCGATATCACCTTCTCTCTCTCTTTCTCTCTCTCTCCCGAGCCCACCGCCCTTCGCTTGATTGTATCCAATTGGCTTATCCCCCTTCAAGAGAATGTGGCTGGATGATAGATTTTTTTTTTGCCACGCGTGCGAAGTAGCAACCTTCCTTCCTTCAAAAAAATATATATATCCAGTAGGTAGTTTGTTTCGCGACCCAGGTGGAATATCGGCCAATTTAATTTTGCCGGTGGAAGCTGGGGGCTCTGGCGACCGCCTCTAAGCGGACTCAAGACTGTCTTTAAAAGCCGCCGTAAAAGTCGTCCCTCTCCCTCCCACCCCCGCCTCGCCCCCGCCAGTATCGCCGTCTCCCTTCCAATATAAACGTTTTGCGATCATAACCGTTAAATTGACGACGCCACAGGATAGACCGGTGGCGCCAAACTTTGAACGGCCCCCCATAAAGTCCCACTCGAATTACGATATTATTATCGAGTATAAATATTTCCGCGTAATGATTTTTCCTCCTTTCCCTCGCGGTTATTCTCCCCCCTTTAAAAAAAAATAAACAAAATCAACAACAACAACAACAAAAAAGAACGTTTTGGTGGAGTATGCCACTGGGGCGGGGCGAAGGGTGGCTGTTTCCATATTCACTGCACGCGTGCGTTGGTGTGCGTGTGTGTGACACTTTGTGATCGCAGCAACACGCGGAAAGTAAACTGGCTCGCACCTGAATTGTTTACGCCTTTCTCTCTCCCCCCCCCCCTCTCTCTCTCTCTTTTTTTTTTGTCCGTCTCCCCCTTCATTGCCCTTACGCGTGTTTCATTGCGGGGATCCATGGGGGCCTCTGGGGACTCTGTGTGTGTCTGTGTGTGTTCATGAGCGTCACTTTATTTTGCACAGGTGGCCGCCCTGCGAGTGCCAACGACGGCGAAGGGAGAGATGATAACTTTTTTTTGTCTTGCTGGCGACAGTAGTGGTGTCTCGGTCGCGCAGGCGCCGCCGATATGATGATTACACACGACTGTGTGTGTGCGCGCGTGTTCGTTCGTGTTTTCCTACCTCAATCCATCAACTATTCCCAATACTTTGGACGCGGCGCGGCGCCCCGGTGGTGGCAGTGGCGTGGCAGTGGTGTGGCAGTGGCGTGGCAGTGGCGTGCCCCGAGGCGGCGCGCCACGCGGTGCCACGCCACTGCGAATGGGCAAAGTGCATCGGAACGACTCGGCCGTTTCCTCCGTTTCGCCTTCCGATGACATGAAACGTTAAACGCGACGTAAAGTAACTCGCCGTCCCTTCCCCGTCCCCTCCTCCACGGTTATTCGAGACGCGCCCCGCCCCGCCGCCGCGCTCCCTCCGCTACTACTGCACTGCACTTTATTTTGGTCGTCATTTGGGCCCCGCCCCGCCCCGCCCGGCCTGCTGCTGGTGCGCCGCCGCCTTCCTCCTCGTGACGAGTGTCGTCTGCTTCGTTATTCGCAGCCGTCTCTGTCTGGCTCCGCTGGACTGCGAATAATGAACGCAGCGCTTGTTAAGGAAGTCATGGACATGATGGCTGCAGGGAGTGTGCGTGGCCCCGGTGGCCCCCGCGCCCTCCTGGTCAATGATTGATTCGGAAAAGGGTTGTTGAGCGGGGGTCGGGGAGGGGGTGGGAGGCGTAGTAAAGGGGGCATTCTGACTGCAGGCAGCAATTATCCTCGCCGGGTCGATACTCCTTGCATTACCATAAGTATAGCAGTGCGGGGGCAGCGCCGGGCAGCGCCGGGCAGCGCGGCCCTAATACGGACGAAGTGGCCCGCGTTAATGGCGACCTGAAATTCGGCTGATAGTGCGGTACAAGTCGCTGTTGTTGTTGGTTGTTGTTGTTGTTGTTGTTGCCGTTGTTGCCGATGTGAGAAGAGCGATGGACGTGAAATGCCCTGCATATTGTTCCTTCGCGCCGCTTCGCGCGCTGCCACGCGTCGTGGTCTGTTTGCCTGCCTCGGTTTCGCTCGCTCTCCGATAGTGACGCCATCAAAATTGAAAGGTCTGACCGCTTCACTGTGTGTGTGTATATGTGTGTGTGTGTGAGGCGTCGCGTGTGATCCGATACTCCGATGGCATCGACCGCCGTTGACTCACTGCAAAAGAGTAACGTGGCCTTTAGCGCGTGGCCGTCGCACAGTGTGCCGGAAGACCGGTGGAGGCGGTGGTTAGAATCTCGAACGCGTTTTGAGCTCCAGAGTCGCTAAATGGGACTCGAGCCGAGCGCGTGACCCCACCAATGGATTCCTCGTCCGGAGAGCAATCCATTGGTGGGGTCACACGTCCGGTTCGAGCCCTGTTTAGCTACTCTGGAGCTCAAAACGCGCCTAGAGCTCTGGCCGCCTGCGGCCCCACTACCGTTGACCGCCAGCAGGCGCCGCGAATCAAAACAAGACTCTTTTCCGTCGCTCTGCCTCTCTCGCACTCGCGGGCCGCGCAGGGGTGCGAGAGAGACAGTGCGAGGGGGGCGTCGAGCCTGCAGCCCGTAGCTTCCATAATTCACCGGCTCGTTTTCCGGCCTGTAACCGAGATACGCCAAATCCCGGCGCCGACTCCAGTTCTCCGGGCCGAACCCCGAACGGCGCGGCGGCGTGGCAGGCAGACGCACTTAATGAACAGATATGGATTTAATTAAGTCGAGGTGGGGCTGCGCCCGGGCTGCGCCTCAGCCGCTCCCCGGAGTGAAAAACAGCGCCAACTTGTTCGGGCCCGCACTGTTTCTTGCCGATGGACAAGTTGAGTCGCCGGCCGGGTTTACTAAGGCGGAGGGATCGCCGGGAAAAAACGGAATCCCGCGGCCCAATTGAATGCCCAGGTCGGGGTCGCGACGCGCGGCCAGGAAGTGAAATTTAAAAATGGCCGCCCCGCGCGACTCGGCGAGGGGAAGCCACGGCGTTAATTGGGCTCGCTTCGTTTGAGGCGGGGCGGGGCGGGGCGGGGCGGGGCGGGGCGGGGCGGGGTGTTTGATCCCCGCGGTTGTAATAAACGCCTTCCGGGGCACGGCAGCAGCACGGTACGGCACGGGGCCCTGCTTTAGAGTGTTCAGGGATTTCGGAATGTTTCAGGGAGAAATTCCGGGAATGATTTTGTTTTGATTCGGGCTTTGCTGAGACGGAATGCAGCCACGTTACCACCGTTCCTCCGTGCGTCGCACAGTGCGCCAGAAGACCGGTGGAGGCAGAAAAATTCTAGACGTTTTTTGAGCTTAAGGGTAGCTAAACAGGACTCGAATCGAACGTGTGACTCCACCAATGGATTGCTCTCTGAACGAGGAATCCATTGGCAGGGTCGCACGATCGGTTCGAGTCCCATTTAGCGACTCTGGAGCTCAAAAGGCGTCCAGAATTTCGGCCGCCTCCACCGGTCTTCTGGCCCACTGTGCGTGGTGCGTGCGTCACACTCTTCCGTGAACTTCATCGTCTCTCGCGGGGATTGTAATTAGCTGGTCTAGCCTCGCCGCGGCCGGGCATGGGAAAATGAAAACCGAAAGACGAGGCGTCTGAGCAGTTTGTGCAAACACAATCATGTCAAGCACACCCACGCGAAACCCAGCCGTGTAATCCCGGCTGTCTCAGCGGCCAGGTGATATCCGGACTTGATTAAATATCCTGGCTCCTCACAGTCCCACGACCGTTTTTAAAAACTCTCCACAATTAAAGTCGTACGATTAAGTCGTCAGGGCGATTTTGGCTGACCGGCGCGGTCGGCGAACCCGCCCTGGTCTCCGGTATCGGCGCGCCTCGCACGCCGCGGGCGTCGCGGCCGATGGGGGCGTGTTAGCGTCACGCCGCTCGTCCCGAGGCTCGCCGCGTGGCCTGGCCTGGCGTAGCATTTCGCGAACGCCTCGCGCATCTGATTATCCGATTATCAGGTGTGTTTACGGCCACGTGGTGCGGGGACCTGGAGACGCCCCGGGGCCGGCCTGCGCGGCGCACAGTGGGCCAGAAGACCGGTGGAGGCGGCCAAAACTCTAGACGCGTTTTGAGCTCCAGAGTCGCTAAATGGGCCTCAAACCAAACGTGTGACCCCACCAATGGATTGCTCTCCGAACGAGGAATCCATTGGTGGGGTCACACGTGCGGTTCGAGTCCCATTTAGCGACTCTGGAGCTCAAAACGCGTCTAGAGTTTTGGCCGCCTCCACCGGTCCTCTGGCCCACTGTGCGGCGAGGCCCCGCCAGTCCGACTGACAGTAAAATGGTGTAGCTGTCAGGGCGAGCGGCGCGGGCACTGCGGGCTCTGCGCCTCACGCCTCCGTTCCGACGCGTACCCGAGAGACGGACTGCCCTGCCCTTCTGACCGACTTGTTTCTCTGTTCCAGGTGCTCAAGGGCAACGAGAACACCTACCTGGAGGCCAAGCGCGACCTGAACCCGCCCATCAGGGCTTCGCGCATCCGCTTCCTGCCCTACTCGTTCCACCGCCGCACCGTGTGCATGCGCGTCGAGCTGTATGGCTGCCAGTGGAACGGTGAGTGTCGCACAGTGTGCCAGACGACCGATGCCGACGGCCAAAACTCTAGACGCGTTTTGAGATCCAGAGTCGCTAAATGGGACTCGAACCGAGCATGTGACCCCCACCAATAGACTCCTCGTTCGGAGAGCAATCCATTGGTGGGGTCACACGTTCGGTTCGAGTCCTGTTAAGCGACTCTGGAGCTCAAAACGCGTCAAGACCTTTGGCCGCGTCTTCTGCGCCGTGTCGAGCGAGTGAGAGAGTGGGAGGGGGGCTTCACACTATTCGCGATAAGCCGAACAAACAGGGCCTGGATGTTCAGTACCGGCCGGAGAAGTGGTCCCCGGTTGAGCGGCTCGAGACGCGTTGCCGCGCTGCGCTTGACTGATGATTCCACATGATGTACGACCTCCCCGTGAAAACTTCTTCTCCGAGTGGGAATGGGTGACGGCATGCCCCCCCCCCTCCCCCGCCGGTCAGCCTGTCGAGGCGCGATGGATGGGGGCGCGCGCGGCAGAGTGCGAAAAGCTCACCGGGACGTGGCGCCCGGACTCCGAGCGGGGCGCTCTGTCTCTCTCGCACTCCCACGTGGTGGCCCATGAGTGCGAGGGAGACAGACGCGCTCTTCGGAAGCAGCCGGCTGGTATTGCCGCCGCTCTGCTCCAGTCACAAGTCAATATATACGGCTCGGTGGCTAATCTCTGGCCGTCTGTGTCCCGACAATCCCGACGGCCAGGGCGACGGCCAGGACGCCGTCGAGGCCCAAATTGAGGCGGGCGGATAAAGCCCACTGCCAACACGGCACGGCGGCGCGGCCCGAGGTGTGGCGGCGCTAAGCCCCGCTGCGCTACCAGGACCACGAGACGACGGGGTGGCGCGGCGGGGGCAGGCCCCTTCCTGTTTAGACACCGTCCGCGTGAATTGACGTGGCCTCCTCGGACGACAGGGCCGACAAGGCAGGGCCGGCGGGGCAGGGAGTCGAGTTTACCGAGCCGCTCTCCAGCCGACCTCCAGACCAGCGCCACCACCAAGCCCAGAGAAAATAAAAAAGAAACATCCGCTTAATTTTTTGACAGCCCCCACCACACTCTTGCAAAACCGCGACACTACTAACTGAACTTAAATAGCAGCCGCACGTTCCAAGTTTTGTCGCCCCACTAACGGAATGTCTCTCTTTCTCTGCCGACAGAGGGCGTGGTGTGCTACTCCATGCCGCAGGGCGACAAGCGCGGTGCCTGGGAGTTCTACGACAACACCTACGACGGCCACTGGGACGGCGACGCGCTGCACCGCGGCCTGGGCCAGCTCACGGACGGGCGCGTGGGGCCCGACAACTTCAAGATGGGCTACCACGAGCAGGACAGAGGTAAGCCACCACTTTCTCGTCGTCTTCCTCCTTGTTTTTTCGGCGGTTTGATCGAGAATCGACGGGCAATATCGGGCGCGCTGCATTTGAAATGGAAATGGACACTCTTCTCCCTCTGCCTTCGTGTCATCCCTGCAGCCGATTGTAATGACAATGGCAGTGGCCGTGTTGGATTACCGATTCCTCGGACCGCGTCGATCGACTTGGCTTTTTTCTTCGTCCCTTTCGGGACGTCCTCTTTACACAAAGTAGCCTCTCTCGCCAGCGCTCCGCGGCGAGGCGCTGACTCTTCGTCTTCTGCGTCGAAATTCAACGAGCGAGCTGATGCAGACCAGGGGTCGCTCTGTCTCTCTCGCAACACAGAGACCTTCCTTCGCGTGTGAGAGAGACTCGGTACCAGCCAGCAGAAGGTGGCAAAGTGACTGGCTCCCCCTCTTGAGGTTTCCAGTGTGCAAACTCGGACCCACCCCCGCGGCCATGTCGCGCGAATCGTACACGAATCGATATCTCGTTGCCGGGCCGCGCCATTCTTGCCGAAAGAATTCGAGGTGGGGTGGAGGACGCCGCGAGCAGCCAGGTAAAGGGGCGGAGGCAGCCTCGGTGGCAGCCGCGGTGCCAGGGAGGGTGTCCTTTCATCTAACCCCCCTACGCGAGCTGGTGTTTTGATAAGCGAAAAACAGTTACATTCCAATGCTGCTCTCTCTCTCTCTCCCCCACTCTCTATCCCTCTCTCTTTTCCCCGCCCGCGCGTCTTATGTGTTTTTCTCACCTCACGAGTCAGTGGCTCGAGCCGCCGCTGCAACCCCCACCGCGGTAACATGTTTTCCCTTTCACAAGCAGCGACATTTCGTGCGTGTGTGTGTGTGTGAGTGTGCGCGTTTGTGTGTGTGTGAGTGTGTGTGTGTGACTCCCCCTCCCCCTTACGCCCTGCTTCTCGTGCCTTTCCCTCGCAAATCTCCGACGACGTCAATACAAACAAACAACAGACGATGTGTGCGAGTGACGAAAAGGATTGAACCGCCCCCCGCCTCCTCCCTCCTTCCTTGTCTTGCTGCTCTCTTTCCCTCTCTCTCCGTCTCTCTCCCTCGCTGCCTCAAAGAGGGCAAGTCGTCGGTATTGTCCCCCTGATTTTGCTTCCTCCTGACAACACACCCCTGTCGCCGCTCCCCCTTTGACTGGCTGCCTCCCTGCGGGTCCGGCCTCGTATTATATACTGTTATTAGATTCCTGTGACGTATTTTGTCCGGCTCGTTCCCTCACCTGTCCTTTCCAAGCCCCCTTCTTTCGTTTGTGTGTGTGCGGGTTGGTGTTGGTGTGTGTGTGTGTGTGTGTGTGTGATCCCTCTGGCCTGCTCTTGCGCGCCCTCCGCTAGCGATTTCCGTCTTACGATCCTTACACGAGTCCCCCTTTCTTACCTGGGCCCTCCCCCACCCCCTCCCCCTCCCCGAGGCGAAGGCTGTCATATCGACTCCTGATCGCTACACGGGCGGACGCGAAGCGGACGGAACTTTGATATGAAAAGTTTGCCTGTTCGACTGTTAGGGTCAGGCGACAGGGTGGCTCGCTGTCCGACATGCTAATGCCTGTCTGCGGCGGACAGACAGACAGGCAGACAGACAGACAGACAGGCGGGCGGGCGGGCTGGCGGGCGGACAGCAGGGGTGGGTCGGACAGTTTGCTGAATAGACACTGCCAACTTGGCGACGTCGTTCAAGATGATGAAGGCCTCGGGGAGGAAGGCGCCGCGGCGAGGAAGAGGGGCGATTGATTGAAAAATGCGCACAAAAGGGTAGCGGTGATTATGCACAAAGTTTCACCGGGATTAAAAAATACGGCGAGGGGCTGGCTGGCTGGCTGGCTGGCTGGCTGGCTGGCTGGCTTGCCGCCTGCCTGGCTCCTGGCGGGGCGGCGGGGCGCCGTGTCCCGCGCGGCCGCTCGACAAGAAGAAGATTGCGGAATTTGTCGATCGCTAAGCCGATAAACCACGGCGGGGCGGCGCGGGGCGCGCTGGGCTGCACGGTGATGATGATTGAGTGCGCCCCGCCCGCCCCGCCCCCCGCCCCGCCCCGCCCCGCCCCGCCCCGCCCCGCCCCGCCCCGCCCCGCCCCGCCCCGCCCGCCCCGCCCCGCCACCAAACATGGCGCGCATTCTTGCAGTCGGCATGAACGAACGGTATGCCTCCGTTCTGATTTTTATTCCCTTTTTTCCCCCAGTCGTTTTCGTTTCTTTCGACCTGGTTTGGGGGCGCCTGTCTGCCTATGCTCGGGCATTGTTTACCTGTTATTAAATTCCTCGCCCCCGTGCGTCAATTTTTTGCCCCCAGTATGATCAAAAAAAATTCCCGCAGGCCAGGCAATTTGTACAATTTTTTGTTGTTCCATAATTCTGCGCGCAGCAAACAGTAGGCGGATGGAAGCATTCAAAGTAATTCTTTGTGCGCGCTGCTGTCACTTAGGGAAGTCCCAGGCGCGTTCTGCTCCTTTTTTTTGTATCTCCTTTGAGGGAAGGGGGAGGTGTCGCTTGCTGTTAGTCCTGGTTCTCTTACTCCACCTGTCCGGAGTAGGACCTCCCCCCCCCTCTCTCTCTCTCTCCCACACACACACACACACACACTTTCGCATACATGTGCGGACCCAATGCCCCCAGGATGTGCCTCGTATTGGGTCGGTCGTCCCCACTGCAGTCGTCCCCTTCGCTGCAGGCATCTTCCCGGGGATGAGGGAACTGGGGCGCGGAACTCAAACTGCTGGTGGCGCTGGCCTCTTCCCGTTTTCGGTCTTTTGTTGTTGTTGTTGTTGTTGTTGTTGTTGTTGTTGTTGTTTTGGTATTTATTCGCTTGTTTTTCTCTATCGCAGGGCTGGGCTGGGTCGGCTGGAAGAACGAGTCGCGGGACGGGCAGCCGATCGAGATCAAGTTCGAGTTCGACAAAGTGCGGGAGTTCAAGGCGGTGCACATCTACTGCAACAACCAGTTCATGAAGGACGTGCAGGTGAGTGGCGTCTATCTTCGCTGTCGGCCGACCTTCGTCCGTTTGCGCGGAAGGAGCACCCGAGTTGTGGAGGGAATATAAAAAGTTGGGCCGTGAGTGGCAGGGACACCGCTAATTAAAGTTGGCCTTCACGGCCAAGTTCGCGTCCGCGGCGTGGCGGTGCCGGGCGGCGCCGGGCGGCGGGGGGACTGACGGCAGGCTGACGTGGAGGCGGCGCCAATGGGGCGGGACGCCGCGAGACGCGTAGCGCCGCGTAGCGCCGTCAGCTCGGCCGCGCGGGCCCACTCAGGTGCGACTAAGGGGCTTAAGTGCGTTTTATAATTCCCTCCCCCGCGGAGGGAGGCCCTACGGTGCCCTCCGGTGCCCTACGGTGGGCTCATCTGTGCACTCCTCCCGCAGGCTTTCTCGGCTGAGAGCCCGCCTCCCCTCCCTTGACCCGCCGACGCTGGCTTTCACACTACTTACTCCGCCAGCTCGGCCCGCACAGTGGGCCAGGAGACCGGCGCTGGCGGCCAAAACTCTAGACGCGTTTTGAGCTCTGGAGTCGCTTCGCAGGACACGAACCGATCGGGTGACTCCACCAGTGGACTGCTCTCCGAACGAGGAATCCATTGGTGGGGTCACACGTTCGGTTCGAGTCACGTTTAGCGACTCTAAAGCTCAAAACGCGTCCGGAACTTTGACCGCCTCCACCGGTCTTCTGGCCCACTGAGACCCGTGTGCCTGCATGCACACCGCCGCCCCGCCGTCCCGCCAGGCTGGCAGCCACACTTCAAAGACTCGCTAATCTCGCGGGCTAATTATTCCGGCAGACTTTGCGATGAATCAATATTACCTGGGCGGTCGCGCCGTCTCGCTCGTACGCGCCGCGCCGCGCCGTGAGTGCGAGGGAGACGGCGCCAGGCGGCGCATCATGTGAAATTGATGAGGGCCAAAGTTTTGGCCCGCGGGAAACTAAGGTAAGAGGTGGCGCCGAGCCGAGGCTCCAGGCCCCCGGGCCAAGTCCTGTAGTGTCGGGGCGAATTTTAATGCGAGGCCGAGCCAGCGAGAAACGGATGCCTTTTTGGGCGTATTACCGCGCCGCGGCGCGCCGTGTGCGAGCTGTCCCTTCAACTCCACTTCTGTGCTGCTTATTTATTCAATACGAACCCCCATGATCCCCGTAAGGCTCGCCGTAAGGGCCGGCGGGCGAGGGGCCCGAGTGCTCTGACTCGTCTGGCCCCGACGGAGGTTAGCCACCCGTGGAGAGGGAGACGTGCATGTACAGTACCGGCAAGTTAAGCTGCGGTTCGGGCGGTGCACTGGAAGTGCTGTGAGTTATCCTCGTTCTCCTTGCTTCCATTCGATTCAAAGAACCCCCCTCGCAAAAAAAAATCCACCGTTCGCTTGGTCTGTATTTTTGCAGTTGGGGGTTTCAGTCAGAATGTTCGGTCCCGGTCGTTTTACGTCTGTTTATCAATTTGGCCCTAATTTTATTTATCAGCCATTATTTCCTGAGTATGACGCGGCCGCTCGCCCCGCCCTCCCTCTCCTGACGTGAAATTGAAAGTGGGTGATGGCCGGGCCGGGGAACTTGGGCCCGACTTGGAGTCCCTTCGAGCCAGGCAGCCTTTCGGCCCGATCCTCCCCCGTTTGAATGCCAAGCAGTGGCGTCGGCCCCCTTCCAGCCAATCATGAGCCCCGTTTCGAATTTTGGCGCCAAAACGGTCCCGGAATCCCCCCGCCCGCCGTTTTGTTTCCCACAGTGTGTGAGCGCGCTGCGCGCTCGCCTCACATATTCGCCAAGTTGTGCACCTCGCGGTATTATAAAGGGCTTCGTTCTGGCAATTTGGCCGCCTGGTCCTGACGCTCCCGCTTAAACTTTTCGCTTCCTGCGGTACGCCTTGCCCGCCCCGCCCCGCCCCCGAATGCATCCCTTCGTTGTTCGTAATGAAAGGGACTACAGGGGGGAAACTTTTTTCTCCGTCTGAATCGGGTATTACAGGACCTGGCTGCGCGCGGGCTTTTGTCTGTCGGAGCGAAATGAGCGAATGAATGAATGAATGAATGAACGAACCTGAAGGTCGGCGGCTGCTTTCGGGTTCAGCGTCCCGCGCGCTCCGCACTCCGTATGCACCGGCCGGCACAGTGTATTGACATCCACCGCAATCCGAATCGCAATGCGTATGCAACACGATGCTCCGCGGCGGTGCACTCGGTGTATCCGTCGATTGTGTGTGTGCGTGTGTGTGTGTGTGCGTGTGTGTGTGTGTGTGTGTGCGTGTGTGTGTGTGTGTGTGAGTGAGTGAGTGAGTGAGTGAGTGTGCGTGTTTGTCCGAGTCAATAAGGTGATTTAACGTCGGGACGTGTTGCGTCCGCGCCACGCGACAGCCACGCGTAGCGCATCGGGAAGCACGGTCGTGATTGCTCAGCCGTCACTCGCGACACTCTACTTTCAGGTTCGCGGGTTCAAGTCCCGGCGGGGTAATTTTTTTTTTTTTTTTCGTTGAATTTGGTGTCCTTGTTCTATTTGTTGTCGTGCGGCCGGCGAGCGGTCCAACGGGCCGCCTCCTTGATGGCGTGCCGCGCCTGCCGCGCCGCCGAGGGGGTAAACACTTCAAGAAATCGTGTACAGACTACTCGGTATTACGCTGTATTACGGGTGTATTACACGTGTATTACGGCCCTAAAATGCCAAAATTTGGCACATTTGACCCACAAAATGTATTACGATCACGTGTATTACGCGTAATACACGGTTTTTGTGTACAGGGTATTACGCGAGTGGTTACCCCCTCGCGCGCCGCCCTCATCGAGAATGCACTTTACCTTGTCGCGCTGCATGTTGTATTCTCTGGCCCCACAATGCTGGCACGCGGGGGGACGCGACGCAACGCCACGCAGTCCGGACTCATTCCACATTCTGTGTGCGACCCGCGTGCGGCCGCCGCCTCGCGCTCGCGGTGGTCGCCAGCTGCGGCAGGTGCAGTGGCAGGTGCCGTTCGTGTGTGTGTGTGTGTGTGTGTGTGTGTGTGTGTCTGTCTGTCTGTTTGTCTGTGTCTGTGTGTGTGTGTGTGTGTGGTCCACCAGCTAGGACCGCGGTCCTCCCCCGCGCACGCGATCACCGCTCGGGGGGAAAAAATCTGGCCCCGGGGTGGCGTTGAACCCACGCCCACACGGTTGCGAGCTGACTGACGACTTGGTCTGCGCAGGTGTTCGCCGAGGCGCAGGTGCTGTTCAGCGTGGGCGGGCGCCACTTCAACGGGCAGCCCATCACGTACACCACGCTGGAGGACCGCATCTTCGAGAGCTCGCGCAACGTGTCCATCAAGCTGCACCACCGCGTGGGCCGCTTCGTCAAGCTGCGCCTGCACTTCGCCGCCAAGTGGATGCTCGTCTCGGAGATCTCCTTCGACTCATGTAAGTTCCGGCCCGGGTTCTAATACCCGTCATTTTTTTTATTTTTTTTTGTGCTTTGTGCCGCTTTGGCCGTATTTTATTTTCGCCCCCACCCGGCCGGCCGATGGCTCCACCACCGCCCCCTCGGCCCCACGGTGTGCTGGAAGCTGATTGCTCACTCGGCGACGTGTTTGTCTGGCCGCGTGAACAAGACCGGACCGTTAATTGGCGGAAGCAAACGTTAGCAGCACCGCCTTGTTGTTGTTGCTGCCGGCTGATTCGATTTCCTTTTGTTTTTCGGACCGCCGTCTGTCTGGCTGGCTGCGCGCGGCAGTGGTTGGCCGCTGCATTTAGATGAGTAATTAGCAATTCATTGGGGCGACATTTGCAGATGTACAGAGCCTAATTATCCGGGGATGGGACTGGTGCGGCGCCGCTAAGCCCTGTGCGTGCAGTCTATAACTAAACCTTCGGCGAAACTTTGTGGCGGGAATTTGAATTTCAAGTCGCCCCCTTCCCTTCGGCCCCTTCAGCCCCTTCGGCCGCACCGTTTTCGCGTTGTTGTTGTCGTGGTAGACATGCGATTAGGCGTGCACTGTGTGCCGCCACCCCCGCCCCGCCCCGCCCCGCCCCGCCCCAACGCGCTAAGGAGCTAGTCGGAGCAGAGTGTTTGGCCCCGGGCCAGCGTCGCCGCCTCTCGCCACCACCTTCTCGAACTAGTTGTTGTCGGCCGTAATGCGGTGGTCGCCGTCGCGGAGGCCCCCGTCGAGGTGCGGCGTGCGTGCTGGCAGCGGGCCGGCCACGCCGAGGCGCCACACACGCGGAAAATCCGCTCAACGTGATGACTAGGGCTGTGTGCGAGCGCCGACTACAGTGTATTCACTCGAGCGAACGGAGCTATTGAACGTGGTTATGAATGTAGAGGTTGGTCGCCCTCGACGCCCGGTGGCGCTTCGCACGCGCGTGTTTGGGCAGGTGGCACGACACACGCGCACACACAGCGCCCTGGCCGCTGGCCTAAAGGGCCTAAGTCGCCTACAAGCCGCTTACTGCGGGCCGCGACCCGACGGCCCGGCGCGGCCCGGCGCGGCCCGGGCCCCCTGGTCACGGAGCGCAGGGCGGCAGGGCCCCGCGGAACGCACCACCGCCTCGCAAGCCGACAACTTGTGTGCGGGCGGACGGGGACGCGACGGGACGGGTCGGGGCGCCTGGGAACGGGGAGGTGGCACGCTCGTGACGAGTTCGTGACGAGTCCGTGACGCGTCCCGTGACGCGGCAGGTTGTCACGCCACTGTTGAGGCGCACGCCCCTCGCGGCCCCGCCCCAGGCCTGCCCCAGGCCTGCCCCAGGCCGTCGACCCTCGCAGGGGTGACTATGCGCGTGACCAAAAGTTTCAATTTGTCATTGGGGTTGGCTCGCTGCTGGCTGCCGGGGGTGGGGTCGGTGTTTCTAGGGCGGATAGTACGGTCATAACTGCGTTTCAATGTCCTCTTCTGGACGCTGTCCTCGTGTGTCCCCTGTACGGCGCGCGTCCCTGGGGACCGCGCCTTCCTCCGCACGGCGTCCCTCGTCCACTCCCACGGCAGGAGCCCCGCGCAAAGGGCCGAGGCCGGGGCCCTCAAGGTGTCGGCGCGAGAAGGTGCGAGCAGGCTGCCCCGCTCCATCGGGGTAAAAGCATCCCGCCGCGGGACTTTGTGAAAAACAAGGAACAAAAGAAGGCGAACAAAAAGTCGTGATTCTGGCAGTGCTCGCGCGCTGCGCACGCGTCTCTGTTACTCCTCTCTTTCCGTACGGACGTCTTGGCGTGGACGAGTCTTATAAAGAGATTTCTTTAGTGGGGGAGAGCCACTCCCCCGCCGCGCTGCCCGCCATGCCGCCCTTTCTGTCTGGGAGCATTACATACATCTGTTGGGGACCCTCTCCCATGCGGCGCCCCGCCCGCCCCGCCCCGCCCCGTCTGTCTGTCGGTACTCGCTCTCCCCGCCTTGGCCAAGCGATGCCAGCAAGCTTGATCCTAAACTCGTCGCTCTGTCTCTCTCGCACCCGCTCGGGACGCCCCACGAGTGCGACAGAGACGAAGGGGACATTGTTTCGGGACCAAACCGCTGTTGGCGTTCCATTGGTATTATCCCGTCTCCGCGCAGCGCTCTCTCTCTCTCTCTCTCTCTCTCTCTCTCTCTCTCTCTCTCTCTCTCTCTCTCTCTCTCGCTGTCGCTCCCCCTGCCGCAGTGTTTCTTGTTTCTTTCCAACTTCTTAGTCATTTCGTCCGCGCTGCGTGACTTTTCGTGTGTCGGCGACGTTTGAGCAGCGTTCTGCTCTTCTTCTTGGCGTCGGCAGCGCCCCCCCTCCCCTCCCCTCCTATCCCTCTCCTCCTGCCGCTCCACAAACTCCATCATTTCATTCATCTCCAATCTCCACGCGAACCTCACTCAGTGGCGACCGGCAGTCGTCACATAACGAAGTTTGTTTTACGTGGCCCTCCCCTCCCTGCCTCCCCGCGGCTAATCCTATTTGACATTGTAATGCCGGAGACAGCGTCGCCGCGGCAGCCCAAGTTGTTGTGCCTCTCTAACGAGGCGGTGCAAATATTCGTCCAAACTATGATTAGCGGCGCACTGCGCCGGAACGGGGAGGGAGGGGGCGCCCCGCCGCGCATCGACCAATCAGGAGCGCCCTGTCTCGCTCGCACTCGTGGGGAGCACCGTGCGGGTGCGAGAGAGACAGGGCGGTCCGTGCGGTCTGTTTGTGTCCCCGTCTGGAATGATAAAAGTGGCGTGCACGGCTGGACTGTCTGGACTGACCGGCCGGCCGGGCGGCGCGGCCCGCCCGTCGAACGCGGCCGTGCGGCGGGGTGCCTACCCGGGGCTCGTCGGGCGCTCGCCGCCCCGACGCTCTGCGCTTTGTTGTGGCAGTGTAGTCGTGGGGGCGCTGCGCTGCGCCGCGGCTCTGCGGTTGCGGGGGTTATATATGCGGGAACGCTAACTGGCGTGTGGCTAACGCGATTACGCCGCCAGGGCGCGCCACCAGCCCGCCATCCGGTTAGTCTGCTCAGCCCGGGGCAGCCCGGCCGGCCGAGCCAATGACTCCGGACCCATGTGCCGTGTCCCTGTCCCTCCAGTGCCGCCGTTTCCGGCAAGCTTCGGATCGGTTAAGGGAAGGCCTCCTGCGGTTGGCTGCCTGCCTGGCCACACCGGATGTGGGCGGCGGGGACACGGGCTTCGATTCGGACGGTGCCGACGGTGCACTGCCTGCAATGTGTAACGATTCGGTTTGCCTTGTTTGTCGCAGCGGTGGCGCACGGCAACTTCACGACGGAGCCGGCCGAGACGGGCGACACCCCCGTGCAGAGTGACGTCTACGTGGAGAAGGACAAGGACCACACGCGGCAGCAGACCAAGACACCCGGTGAGCAGCCTGGCGGCACCCTTCGAGTGGAACCCACGCCCTCAGTAGGAACTGACTGACTGGTTGGTTATTTTGTTTTTTCGCAGTGCCGTCGGCCGAGGAGGACGACTCGACGTACATGGCGGTCATCATGGGCGTGCTCATTGCCGTGATCCTGCTGCTGGCGGCCGTCATCTTCGTCATCGTGTCGCGCCACCGCAAGCGCAAGTGCTTCGCGTCGCCGCTCAACTCCAAGAGCGCCCTGCCCACGTCGCACGCCGCGCTCAGCGCCTCGGAGAAGGGCGGCGGCTCGTCGGCGGGCACCCTGGGCACCCTAGGCGGCGCGTACGGTGTCCGCGAGGTGGGCGCCGGCCTGGTGGACGGCTACGGCCACGTGCACGGCGCGCCGCCAGCCAACGGACCCAGCCTCGGCGGCGACATGGACCACCTGCTGGAGGGCAAGCTGGACGACTACCAGGAGCCCTACCAGGCCCTCAAGTACGCGCCGTACTACTCCTACTCCACCGTGGTCATGGAGCTCGGCGACCAGCTCAGCAAGTCCGCCACCACACCTTCCGGTGAGGAGAACAACGGTGAAAACAAAATCTTTCTTTTTTCCGCGAGGCAGGTGCCGCTTCTTGTTCCGTCACCGTGTGCACGCAAACTGTAGAACTGGCACCGCTCTCGTTTCTGGTGTAGTGGAACTCGGCGTCGCGTTCTAATGCTTGTCCTCGTGGCCCCGCAGACACCACGTACGACTACGCCGTGCCCGAGTCGGGCGGCGGCATCCCGCTGCTCAGCCCCGAGGCCGCGCTGCCCCTGCCGTCGTCGCGCGCCTCGGACAAGGGGAGTTTGTTCTCCAAGTCCTCCTCCTGCAACGGGTCGCGGTCGGACGACGCCAAGAGCAGAACGGTGAGTACCAACGACGGCGCCAAAAAAAAATTAGTCATCCGGGGGTGTTGAACCGCCAACCTTTGCAACGCGAGCTCGTCGCGCTAACCACTACGCCATGCGAGTGTGCGTTGATCGATGCGGCACGCTTTGTCGCCTGGCGCGGCACGGCGGCTCGGCGACGACGGGGAGGCCCCGGAGGCCGCCATAAAGGGCACTATGATGCATGGCGGGGCGGTGATTGTGGCCACCAATAAATTAATTAGTAGGTTAACGAGCTGGCGAAGGCTGCTCCAAGGAGGGGCGGGGGAGGGCGTGTGACATGGAGAGGGGGAGGGGACGGCGGGGCACTTCCTCGCCCCGGAACGCCCCGGAATGGAACTGATTTCCAGCACGGAAGGGGCACGGCGCGCTGGCGGCCAAGTAGCTCGTGCCTCTCTCTCTCCCTCTCCGCTCCCGGCGCCGGCGTGCCGATGGATGATCGCCGAGGCTGGCTGCGCTAAGCAAGAAGAATACGCGAGGGTGGCGCTGCTCCTGCACTGCACGGCGGGTGATTGAAACAAACGCGGCGGCGCACGTGTCCGTAGTCCGGCCTGCCGACGTCGCCTGCCTCGCCGCGCCCCTCGGACCCACGCCCTCGCCGTGGTGCCGCCGAATCGGCCGGATTAAAAAAGCGGCGGCGCCTGCAGCTTGGCGGTGCCGAGCGCAGTGGCTCTGCCTCTCTCTCTCGCACCCTTGCCGGCCGGCCCTGGGGTGCGAGAGAGAGAGGTTGTTCGGCCCGCGGGGCGCTTTTCCCGGGCCGGCGTGATTCCGGCGCGTGATTCGGCACGCTAGGTCGCCCACGGGGAGGAAAGAGAGGGGGGGAGGTAATGGGAGGGAACGGCCGCCATAACCATCCGCGGAATAAGAGGGCGGTGGTGCCGCGCCACGCCTGCGACTGTGTCTCGCCGAGGAATTCCCTGATAATGGGCCGGCTGCCGCCACTGCCGGCCGGGCCGGGCGTGCCGGTAAACGGCCTGCTGGCCGTCGGGGGCGTCAGTGTGCAACGTGCACCATCGACCGGACCTAGAACCTAGCTTTTCATATTCGGTCGCCCGCTGTGGAGGTCTTTGGCACGCTGTCACGCCACCGCCCGAGTGCCCCGCTGACACTTCGCCTCCCCGCGGCCCCGCCGGGGGTCCTGGCTCGGTCCTGGCGGACCTGGCCGCGCACACAATCAATTCAAATGTGCCGCCGCCGGCCGGCCGGCTCGTCTGTCTCCGTCGCACTCGCTGCGCGTTCCGCTGGGGTGCCAGAGAGAGAGAGAGAGGCGGCCCGGCCGGCCGTCGGGCTAATGATGACGTATCGCGGCCCGGGCGCGGGCTTTATGAATAAAATTTGGCCGCGAAGTGTGTCCTTTCCTTTCCCTTCCCTTTCCCTTTGCCGGCGATGGCTCAAAATTTAATTTAGACGACAAAAGCCTGTTTGCGGGTCTGGCGGGGCCGGCGGGGCCGGCCGGGCCGTGACGCGTCGCCGCGGCCAAGGCGCCATTAATTTAAAGGGATCGCGTCGCTTTGAAATGGCGGATGGCGCGGTGCGGGGTGTGGCGCCTGCAAGCCTGGAAGGCCTCAGACCGCAGAGCGCCGCACAGCCAGGAGCCGCGAAGTGAACAACAAGTCAAAACGGGGCGCTCCTTTTGGCCGCCCCGCCATCTCAATGACAAAAGGGTCGCGCTGCGGTTAACGGCCGGACTGCCAATACCGCCCTCTTGACACGTCAATCCCGCCGCACTTATTCGCACGTGCACCGCCTTTGTGTTCCGCAGAGAGAGAGAGATGCTCTTGATGGTGATGGAATCCCGGACATTAAGGGACGGATCCAGGCGAGCCAAATGAGCGGGAGGGGGAGAGGTGCGTGGGAAGGTATGAAGGGCTCTCTCTCCCGCTCGCTCGCCCGCTCGACCCTTCCAGCCAGCCATACGGACCTTTAATTAAAAATTCCGGGAGAACAAAGAGGGCAGAACGGCATAGCGAGCACAATGGGGCTGTGTGTGCATATTTCCGTCCATTTTCATCGCCCGGCCCAGCGCGGGGCACCGCGGGGCCGAATGAATAAACAGTGGAACTTTGGCGCGCAGTGCGCACACAAAGCGCACGGCCTTGTCGATTGGCTGCGCCGCGCCTACGCCGCGCCACCGCCGCCACCGAGGCCGTGTTCCTGAAGCTGTGCCTCTCTGTCCGCAGTCGCCCGCCCACCACCAGCAGGACGTGCTGCGCTCCCTCAAGCGGCGCCTGCAGACCGCCGTGCCCGAGTTCCCGCAGCACCGACTCAAGCTGCTGGCCAGGCTTGGCGACGGTGCCTTCGGAACGGTGAGTACCCTGCCACCGTAACAAAATAAACATTCTTTATTTTTAAAAAAAATCAAGGGGAAAATAACAAAATTGTTTTTGTCCATTTGCAGCTGTACGTGGCTGAGGCCGACGGCATCCCGGAGTACGGCACGACGGTGTCCGTGGGCAAGCGCCTGGTGGCCGTCAAGTTCCTGAACCAGGGCGCCGGCGAGAAGGAGAAGTGAGTACCGTGCTGAGAGACACCCTCCCCTCCTTTGGGGTATCTCTGCGAATCACTCCGACTGCTGCTGCTGCGGGTGTAAATCTGCCAAGTCGTGCCTTTTACAACCCTTTCGCCGCTCTCTTCTGGGAAAGGGGATTCTCGCCGCCCGCCCCGCCCGCCCCGCGCCTCTGGCTGTTTGCAGATAAAACTCTCGCCTGGATGCTGTTGCTGCTCCCGCTGTCTTTTCCCTCCATAGTTTGCCCTCCTTATTATTAGATTGTTTTTCTTGGACGTGATTTTTTGTCGCTCTGGACAAAGGGGTGTCCGCCGCCCTCTCTCGTCGCTCTCGCTCCCTCTCACCTCCTCGGAGTGATGACTCGGCGTGCGTCTCTCTCCTTCCCGTGTGTCGTCCGGCCCGGTCCGGCCCGGTCCTGCCGGCGTCAGCAAACAGAAGCCAACATTAATTGGGCTTCTCAGTTCTTGTTCCACTTTTTCCGCACCTCTGGCTGAGCCTCTGGCCGAGCCTCTGGCCATCGCTCCTCTCTCCTTTTTTGGGGGACCCTTGCCGTCGAAGCGAAAAGGCGCACACTTGTTTGTCCGGCCGGTCTCGCGCGGGTGTCGGTCGCCTGATTCCAAGAGGCCCTCGCCGTCTCTCTCGCACTGCTGGGGCGTCCCGTAGGGCAGTGAGAGAGACACCCTGGCGACTGGAAGTGGAAGGGAAACGAAATATCGCAACTGTCCGAAGTCGAGTAACACGGGTACTACCAGCCGTTGGCGGGGACACCCGTTTCTACCTGGCGCGGCGCAAACGCTCCCCGTTCCCCGTTCCCCGCTCCCCGTGAAATTATCACCAATCCTTAGCCGTGCGCTCGGCTCGGCCTCTCGGCCCATTGCGTCCGCCCCGGCGGCCCCGGCGAAGGCCGGCAGCGTCGCCTCGCCGAAATTACAAAGATCAATAGTGGCTGGAGCCGACTGCCTGGGAGCCAAGGGGGCGCCCTAGACGGCCCTAGGAGGCCCCGCCGTGCCTCCGCCCTGCGAGGCGGGGCCCTGGAAGCCCTGGAACGCCCTGGAAGGCCCTGGAAGGCCGGCCGCCCTTTCCCGCCGGAGTCCCTGGAGGTCCCGACCGGGCCCTGCCGCCATCAGCGTATTTCTCACCGTGATTGTTGCCGCCTCGTGAAACCCCCTCCAGGACTCCCCGACGGGGAGGTCGCCGTCGATCGCCGGCCGGGACGCGAGCCCCCCCGGGGGCTGTCCTCGACGGCGGGCAGTCCGTTCAGTTGAGGTGTCCAAGTGGCTGACGGGGACCTCGCTCTGTTCGCAGGATGGACTTCCACAAGGACGTGCGGCTGCTGTCCGCCCTGGAGGACCCCCGCCTGGCGCGCGTGCTGGGCATGTGCTCGCGCGGCGAGCCGCTGTGCGTGGCGCTCGAGTACCTGCCCAACGGCGACCTGCACCGCTTCCTGCGCGAGCGCGCGCCCCACCTGGACCACCTGGGCATGGAGCACCACCTGGAGGACGACCAGGTCGTCAGCTTCAACACGCTGCTCTACATGGCGTCGCAGATCGCCTCCGGCATGCGCTACCTGGAGACGCTCAACTTCGTGCACCGCGACCTGGCGGCGAGGTGAGTTCCTTTTCCTTCTTATTTCCGCCAGAACCAATGGGGAAAAAGGTCGTGCGTGTTTACATGCGGCGGCCCGGGCTGGGCGCCCCGCCGGCACTGGAAATTACTATCCGATTTCGGCTTTCGGCTCTCGGCTCGCGAATTGGATTCCCCATCAAAGGTCCTCGCCGCGCTTTTGCTTTCATGATGAACGCGCCGATATTCGGCGGCGCGGCGCTCTCGGCGGCCGGGACTCATCGGCCCGATGTATCATTATATTCCCTCTGAAATTATTAAAATTAATAAGGGGCGGAATGCCGTCCGATGGCGCCGGGCTTTTGCGTCTGACAGGTAATCACACATAACCTCTTTTTCCCTCCGACTCGCTGCTGCGGGAGGTAAAAGCAGGGAGCCCCCCCCCCCCACCCGGGGCTCATTACCGAAGTAATCGCCCCTGATACGGAGGGAAGGGAAGTGCACCACCGTCACCTCAACCCCCAATTTGACGAGGGGAAGATGATGGCCCTCGGATCGAATACCGGCGCCCTCCAATCTTTTTTTCTCCTTTTGAAAAATTCTTTTTCTTTGGAGGCTGACTGAGTGGTGATTGCGTCAATACACGCGCGGCGAAAAGGCTACTGCTCGCCTTGGGGATGAAAGAGCCTCCTTTGGGGATTTGCGTTGTCGCGTCTGGCGCCGTGCAGTGGCCGATGCGTTGACACGAACGGCCCAGTCGGCGAGTCGCCCCGTCGGCTCCTTGTTGACAGCCGCGCTGACGCCCTGCCTGCCGGCCGAGCCGGCCGTGCCCCCAGCGGGGCTCGTGCAAGCAAAGCGAAAGGGGCGCGGCGCGGCCCCCGCGCCGAGCACGCCGAGCAGGGCGAGCGCGCCGCGACCCGCACGCACGTCTCCATGGCGACGGCCTGTTGTGCCGGCCATTGATCGCCAGGGCCTCCAGGGCCTCGGCGGCACCCGGGACGGCCGGGACGCCGCCCCGCGCGGCCCAGCCCCGCCAGCACCACGCTGACACCCTGCGTTTCGTTGTTCCAGGAACTGCCTGGTGGGCGACAACTTCGAGATCAAGATCTCCGACTTCGGCACCGACAACGAACTGTACGCCGCCGACTACTACACGTTCGGCGAGAGCGTGCAGCTGCCGGTGCGGTGGATGGCCTGGGAGTCCGTCTTCCTGGGCAAGTACACGACGAAGAGCGACGTGTGGGCGTTCGCCGTGACGCTCTGGGAGATGCTGCACTACTGCTCGGCGGCGCCGTACCCGGAGCTGGACAACCCGGGCGTGGTTGACAACCTGTCGCACCTGCGGCCCGGCGAGGACCCGCAGCTGTTCGAGCCGCTGTGCATGCCGCCGCTGCCCGCCGGGGCGCGCGACGTGTTCGACCTGATGTGCGAGTGCTGGCGGCGCGGCGAGGCGGAGCGGCCCTCGTTCCGCGAGATCCACCTCTTCCTCCAGAGGAAGAACCTGGGGTACGCGCCGGTGCTGACGTGACGGCCGCAGCGCCTCGCCACGGTGCGCCACTCCAGGACGTCCTCGTGCTCGGCCAGGTTCCTGGTGCCGGGCGGCGCGTCGCGCTACCAGATCCACGACGCCGGCTTCCTGGCCAGCCTGCGCGGCAAGAGGACCGGGTCCCTGCCGCCAGCGACGGACTGCTAGAGCCTGGCCCCGCCGTGGCCTGGCAGCCAACTGTGACAATCAACCGTGGTGGGGCCACCGCGGCCCCGGCCGGTCTCGACCAAGAAAGTAATGGAAAATAATACTGCTATACGTGTATCATATCCCTGTGCTTGGACCTGTAGATAGCTCAACGACTGAAGACTGTCGCTGTCTGAACTGCAAGTTCCTCTGTTGCATAGCTTTGTCTACCATTTGTTGATGGAGTTGTATAGATGTGTCATATGTAGAGTCAAGTTTTATCAGAGCAAATGTGTTCGCGTACTTTCATTTTGTATCTATTTGGTGTCATGTTGCCTCCTTGTAGTTAGAGACGTTTTGTACATATTATTGTTGTAATAAGTTATTGTTCGTCGTGTGTTATGATAGCTCTTTTACCTGACTTGAATTTCAGACTGCTGTATAATGACCCTGTCTCACGAATGGATATCTCTCTTCTCAGCACAAGCAGACTTGAATTGTAAAGCACTGATTCTCTTCTACCCTTTTTTGACTATTCTTGTGTAGGTGCTTGATGGTTCATTTTCACCATAAAAAAATAATTCAATTACATCTACTTGGAATTGAATCTATGCTTTCCTTGGCATGTTGAACCCTAGGAGAGTATTAAATTATTTTACCAGTATTTTTCCCTTGGGACCATATTAATGGCATCCAACCAAAGTCACCATTAAAAAAATAAAAATAAGAAATCAAACTTTTCCGGGTATTTTAAATTAATGCTTCAGACTGACTACCCTTTGACTATACCTTCTTACAAGCTAAATGGTGCTACATGCATAAAAAAATATTTCAAAACATTTTTGTTTACGACTTGAATGCTTGTTTGTAAATGTATGTAACTATCGTGTCACTTTTTGTTTGTTCATGTCAAATTGAAATCTGTCTTTTATGTAAAGGAGCTCTTGAAGTAGCTTGTGATATTTTTATAGTAAGCTTCATATTTATGTTTATTTATCAGATGGTTTCCAAGAGCCTATACAGAGATGTATGTACATTTTTATTCACTGGGGGTTCATAAATATTAAGTGAAACAATGAGCATATGCCTATGGATTAATTAAGAGGCTTGCCTCTGACTTTGTACTCAGTGTACAGTCTAGCTACTTTAGGCACTTTGCTCTAACCTAGTCACGTAGTATAATGTGAAAAGACCTTTACGCTGTGATTAAAGTTATCTTTTTTTTTAATCGACACATGATGATGTGTGTAGGATACTTTCTAGGTGCATCAACGGCTCTTAACAGCCGCTTTGTTATTTATAAGTATAAACGGACTTGGTTATTCATAAACATGCCGTGTTCTAGGTCGCTTTACTCATCAGCACAGACACTTTCAACTGCACTGAGAAATTGAGAGTAGTAAACCTCTTTCCAACAGTGTTTCAAACACCTTGGCACCAATGCATCTTCCTTAATACATTAGATTTGGATTTTTTTTTTCTAAGCATCAACAACTATGATAAGGCACATACAAAATGTTCCATGTGAAGTCTTTTTCACAAATGCATTAGAAGTGCACTAATCTCACGGTATGTTTCAATTCTCTCAAGTGGACTGCCACTGCCTGTTTAAAGACTTTCAAATGTATAATTCTCTAAACCATGTTTCAAGGAATGGTGCCTAAACATCTTGATAAACTTTTTAATATTCTGATTTTTCTTCTGAATATGTGCAGGACTTTAATTTCGAAGTCTGTGTGGTCTGCTATCCAGCAGACATGATGATCAATCCTTTATTTTGCATAATAATGATGACAATTGTTAACCGTAAATTGCCTGTATACCAATGTCGAATTTTTAATACTTGTCAACAAGAAAATATTGCACAATCAAACGCATATCATTGGGTGGGTCATTTGTTGGGGCTATTCTGGAAACGCCCCGTGTGAACGCCCGTACGATGTGTACATAAAATTGGATGTAGAATGGCCATGTATCATTACGATTGAAATAAAGAGCTCTAGAAAGAAGTGAAAGAAACTGCCTTCTCACTGGACCCGCCCCATATCTCAAAAACACGACGGCCGGCGGACGGACTGGAGGCCCGTTTCGGCCCCACCCCACCCCCTCCCCGAGCTACAGACTTCGATTAAGGGACGACGACCACGCCGGCGCTGCCACGGCACGTAAGATGACGGGCATTCCCTGCCAAGGGAAAGGGCGGGCCGGCGGACGTGAAAGGGAAAAATAAGGGCGAGGAAGGCGAAAGGGGACCGGGGTCAAGCCGGCCGGGCCGGCCGGGCAGGCGGCCCGGACACGCGGAAATCCAGAGAGTGTCATTTAAAAGCGCCGGGGGCGGCAGGCGGGCTGGCACCGCCACTGCCCCAGAGGACGCCGAGGTCGCCGAGGACGCCCGCCTGCCCGCCCCGCTTCCTCTCCTAATCCCCATCGGTGGAGGAATTCCCCCGTTCGGGCTCACGCCGAGGCTCACGCAGTGACAGCTGGGGAGTGAAAGGGGAGGGGGCGGGCCCCGGGGACCTGCAAGGAAAAGGGGGGGGGGGGCAACCACCGGGAGAGGACCCTGTTGCTCTCGCCCTGGACATATCGAAAAAGGAGAAACGCGCGAAAAATAAGAAGAAGAAGGCGCGTTTCATCGAAGCTAATCGAAGGCCGGGCTGAGGAGGCACTCCCTCACCTCGGGATGAAAAGCCCCTCGCCAAGCAGGCGGAGCGGGGCAGGGGCTGCCAGCAATGATGACGATTAAGATGATGGCGTCGTCGGCAGGTCGTGTGCGGGAAAAAAAAGAAAAGAGCGACCGGAACGGGGCGGCGAAAAAACTGAAAGGAGACAGACGACGGCGGACGACGGATGAAAGGGCGGGGCGCGTGTGTGGCGGAGAGAGACAGAGCAAGCGCCATCGAAGTGGAAACCGATTTGAGGGAGCCCCACGTCCAAGTGGTGGCAGTGGGGCGAAGTGGGGCGAAGTGGAGCGGGACCTCGGAGAATTACGGAGTGAAGTGCGCAGATTAAGACGCGTCCCGCTGGAGGTCCGTGGGGAGGGTGCATTGCGGTCTGCGAGCTCCGCGAGGAAGGTGCACGTTCAGGCGGAGAGCGTTGAGGTGACGGTCTCTGAATCTGGGAGGAACCGGTGCGCCCCACTTCTGTTCGTTCACAATTTTCTCTATGGGCTGCTCGGGGGAGGACGTAGGACTCAAAATAATTTCGTGCCTCTGCAGAGGCACCGCGACCGCGAGCTTGCATTTGCATCGGAATTTTTTCAGGCTTTCTTTACAAATCAGTTTAAAACGTCTCCGAACACACGCCTTACAAGCCGCTTCCCTTTGTGCACGCTCCCCTCGGCTGGCTGTCCCTCTGGTCGATTACCGCTGATAGTAGTGAGATTAAAAAGGCCCTTCTGGATCGCCCCGCCCCGCCCCGCCCCGCCGCGCCATTCAATCTCGCGGCAATACAAGGGAAGGTAAATCTTGGAATATATTCGCGTTTTTCATCCCTCCCTCATTCTCCGCTGCGCTCCGCTGCCTTGCCCCGCTTGCCCCGCCAGCTTCCCCCAAGAAAAAGCAGGCGATTACCTCCCATCGCAGCGACGGCAGCGGCGGCACCCTCGATGCGTCCGAAACACCGACAGTCAGTCCGCCGGGCCGTGCGCCGCGGCGGCACTGCGCGCCCGTTTGGCTGTTTCGGACGCGCTCCGCGAAGTAGACGTCGCCGTGCGCCGGGGCACCGCACTGCAACCTGTCAGCCCGCGCAGCGCGCAGCCCGCCGAGGAGGCCGAGGCCCTCTACCCCGCCCCGCCCCCTTAACTTGTGATGGAGATTTATCGCACCCCTGCTGCACCTGCGGCCGCCAGCCACCCCACCGCCCGCCGCGTCCCGCCCCACCCCGCCCCACCCCCACCCCGCACGCACACGCCGGCCGAGCACTTAAAATCTCTCATGCCGCGGCGCGGGGCTGGAAAAAAATGTTGTTCATACTGTGTGTGTGTGTTTCATGTGGGGCGGGTGACTTTGCCACACTTTGTGGTGGTGGACGCCATGGCTCACGCGGTCTGCGTCTAAAAATTAGGCGTCTGTGATATGCAAATTTGTTAAAAGAATAGTTAGTACTGCCGAGGTGCTCTAGGTGTGTGGCCTTGCCTTGCACACAGGATTGTCATCAACGTTAGTAAATTTCTGACCAGGACGATCACTATGTCCTGAAACTTTAAAAGTGGGTTTGAAGAAGGGTTTGGACCGCCGTTTCCGGCCCTCAGCTGGCGTTTCAAATGGTTACCGCCACAAGTCAGGCGCACAGCTCGGTTGGCTTTTGGACGTAGCGGGGCGCTCTGCCGCGCTCTGCGCTCTGCATCGCAAACGCCGCTCCTCCGGGGACCGCGGGGACCGCGTCGACGGGGGACTACATCGCCCTCGACAGCGCGCTGACGGGTACACGGCGTGCACGCGGCCAGTCAAGAAGAGCGATAGCGTGATCGATTGCCGCGGCAGCAGCGTCGCTCTGTCTCCCTCGCTCTCCGACGGGACGCCCCGAGGGTGCGAGTGAGACAGAAGGGCGGTTTCCGTACCCAGCCGGCGGGCGGCCCTCGGCCTTCGGCATGCACTTGTCGGGCTTGGCTGCTTCCCCGTCGCCGCCGGCGCCGCGGCCCCAACTTTTCTCCCCGTTAATTGGGCCGGCCTATAGACGTTGCCCGTAACTAGATCTCGGCCTGCACCGCCTGCAGCGGAGTGCACCGCGACGGCCCGCCGCCCCGCGCCGCCACCGACCTCGCCGTCGACGGCGACGCAGAGCCCCGCGGCCAACGCCTCCAACTGGCGCGCGCCCCGCCCGCGATCGCAATCTTTGCGACATTTTTCAAACAGCGCAGACGACAACGGCAAACACATCGGACGGCTGCATGAGGGATGGGGCGGAAAGCAACGCCAGGAAGTGGGGGAGGGGGGGGGGCGGGGAGGCCCCACCGCCCTGCTCCTGAAATCCGCAGACTGCAGGCCGGCCCTCGCCACGCCGTACCACTCCAAATCTGATTAGGATATGGGGTGCATCTGTCGCGACCGCCCTGGCCTCCGCCCCGGGGTCAACCCCCGCCCGCCCCGCCCCGACGCCGTCTTCTTGTTTTCCCCCGCGTCGTCTGCTAGAGGGGAGGGAGGGGGAGGGGGAGGGAGGCGATACGGCTCATTTTGGACGCGCCGTCTGCCGGCCGGTTTCGTGTGACGGGCGGGGCGGGGCGGGGCGGGGCGGGGCGGGGCGGGGCGGCCGCGACCGGGCATTAGCGCGGCGGAGAAATACTACTGCTTGCACTGGCTTTGATTACGGGCGGCGCCGTGCACAGCCAAAAACGAAGAAGAGGAACGAAGATCGATAATAACATTGTCCATACCGCGACAAGGAAGTCAAACTGAAGGCGACCCATAGCAGACAGTTCAGATTCCACCTGGGGCACCTGCGCAGCCCGACCGATAGGCCACGCGGCGCGCGCCGTGCTCCTAAACCCTGCAAGTTCTAGGTGCTTGCATTGCAGTCCGTGCAATGTGGTTCTGTCGCTCTTTCTCTCTCGCACTTGCGGGGATCGCCGTTCTGCAGGGCGGTGCGAGAGAGACGAAGCACGGTTCCGGAATGGCCCCCCGTTTAGCGCGCGCGGCCCCAGGTGCGGTTCATAATTCAAAATCGACATGTACCTCGCGGCCGCGGCCCGGCGTATCCGGCTAAAACCCCAGCCGCCAGCCGCCCTAAGTGCTTAGTGCGCTACAAGCAGGCTGCCCGCCCGCCCCGCCTGCCTGTCTGGCTGGCTGGCACACTTTGGCGTGACTTGATGCGGGATTAGGCCGAAAAGGAGACCAGGACCGCTTTGCCGCATGGCGGCCATGGCGGCTGGGGTGGAACAGAGACAGCACTACAAGAGGATTGGCGCGCCGCGTCCACCCGGCGGCGGGGTCCTATTGGAACGCGTCACCCTGACCATGCCCGGCCAGGCCTGACCAGGCCCCGGCGCTCTATAAGAAGCGTATTTTGGTGGTTGGGGCGGGGGGGGCGGGGCGGGGCGGGGCGGGGCGGGGCGGGCGACGCGCTGACCCTGTCCCCTAAGGGGCCGACCGAGGGCGCCTCGATTGTTATCAAAGTACGTGCGTAGGCCACACCTCCCCGGATCAGGTCGGCTTTATCGTCGGACACACCGCAAAAAAAAAGAAAAGGAAAAGAAAGAAAAATCGTTTGACGGGTTGACCAACTTTTTCATCATCGTTTTACGGATGGCTAAAAATTTTCCCTTTGACGCCGTCGTTCTTCGTAGTTTCTAAAAAAAAGTGCAGCTAGGAAAAACGTGAGGCCTAGAGGGTGTCCCCTTTTTTTGGGTCCCGTTGGAGTCCCGGTGGAGGTGCCAATGTAAACACAGGTCCGCCATGGGCGCCATGGGCCCACCCGGTGCGTGTTGTTCTTTCATACGGAGCGCGGCCAGTGGAGCAAGCGGTGCCAAAGGAACTAATGAGCCACGCTTTGTTTCGGAAAGTTTGGCACCGGGGCCACACACACGCACACACACACACACACACACACCTACACACACAAACACACACACACACACTCGCGGACACACACCTGCAGCAGCGGGCCTCAATCAGCCGGCCAACAAAACGTTAGTTCCAGTTGAAGTAATGTGTGCTCGTGACACACGGCTACACCGTGCATTATTCCAGTGGCGTGTCCTGGATGTGAACAAATTGCCCGGCAATATTGACCGATCGATAAAACAGGACACACGGAAGGGAAAATCCACAAAAAAACAGTCAGCCGGCCCCCTCCTCGTGCGCGCCTGGCATCGGCCGGGTAGGCAACACGGCCGTCACGGCATGCACGCGTGTCTGGCGCGCGGCCTATCCGAGCGCCTGGCAAATAACACTAAATATGGCATCCTGACTAGCCACGTTGGGGGAACCCCGAGTCGACAATGGCAGGCGTGTCGGGAAAACAGTCCCTGATATTTTTAATTGCTGTTCACCGAAACCGAGAATCACGAATTT